ATTGGCTAAATATTGGAAGGGAGAATGTACAGTTGGTTTAGTTACCAAATGTCAAATGATTTAAGTTAGTCTTCCTCAACAGCCAATGGTACGTCAGACCATCTCCAATGGTTAGCACCTTTAAGGAATGCTTAACCATTTTTATATTAGTTTTTTTTATAATTTTTTGTTTAAGCACCCCACTAATAATTTTTTTTTTTTTTGGTACGTCCACTAATAAAAAATTTCATCCTCCAATGGGAGATGCTTAAAGTGAGGTGCTTAGAAATTTTTTTTTTTAATTTTAGTTTGTATTTTAAAGGTTATGTTAAAAGGTTACTAAGAAGGAAAGAGAAGAACAAGAGAGAGAGATTTCAATTGATGGGAAAAAGAATAAAATAAATAAATTAAATGTCTCAACCAATAAGAGAAGACCACGTAAGATGTGTTTAAGGGTGTTTAAAATGCTTATAGAAGCATCGATGCTAAAAGTTTTCTCCATTAAAAAATTATTTCTAATTTAAATTTTTGACTAGCAACCTTTAAGCATCCCTTATTGGAGATGCTCTCACCATCTAAATTAAGTAATGTTATAAAGAAGTCCAACATTTAAAACTAGAAGATAACTATATATGTAATGTACGTTATCTGCTGGATTATCTCATTTGTACGTCTATGATATATCCCACAAGACTAGGAACTTGTTCAGAAATACTGTAATGAAAGGAACATGGAGTTTGTCGCTAGGTATTTGACCAAAAAATCGAGAACAAAAGGTTATATATGTGGCTTCATTTCTTCTAGTGAGTTTTCCTCTCTGGTCATTTCCATTCTCAGAAAACCTGAATTCAGTTCAGAAATACAATACAGTATCTGTTTGAACACTTGAGAAGATCAATGGTCCGTCTTTAGCATAAGCAAATACATGGCAAAGAATGCTATAAAAAAGCAACAGAGAAATCAAGATTCTTATTCTTATTATTATTTTTTTAATAAAAATTAGGATACCCTGAATGATAGCTTAACAAGTGTTGATCCAATCAAGATTTACTCTTGCATTGATGCAAAAAGGAGATATAGACTAAGACCATCTCCAATGGTTGTCTCTATTTTTTCCTCTATAATAGAGAAACTATAAAATAGAGGTGCATTTATCTCCAATGGTTACCTCTATTTTTCCCTCTAAAAAGGTCGAATATTCTCAATATATTCAATTTGTTATTTGTTCTTAACACTTTTTATTAATAAAATTTATGAATTAACCCACTTATTTTTTTAATAAAACTTACATAAATTATAATACTACTAACTTTGATAAATAAAATTTGTGAATTAATCTTTTATTTTACTGTTTATAAAAGTTTTCATAAATTATAGTGATAGTAACATTAGACTACTAAAATTTTTAAATTAATCCCACTTATGTTACTTTTTTATGAAATTTCAACATATTATAATAATACTAAAAGTTAAAATTCATAAATTAAAAAAAAATTGCTGTTATTTTTCGTTTATTTTTATGTATTTTTAATTTGCAATTATTTTTTTGTAGTTTAATTTCAATGAGAATTTTCATATTTAACAATACCATATGTTTTTTTATTAACTATAACCAAAATTATCACATTTATATTCATAAAAAATTATACTTTTTGCATAAATAGAAAGATTTAAAAGTTAAAGGACTACTTTACAAATAAAAAAATTCACCTCTATTATAGAAGAAAAAAATAGAATTCCTTTATATTTGGAGAAAAAAATAGCAATCTCTATTTTAGAGGTATAAATAGAGATGGATTGAAGCATAATCTTTATTTTCACCTCTAAAATAGACGTGGATTGGAGATGCTCTAAAGCCGCTCTTTTATGCTTAAAAATATATTCTTGAGGCCTTTCTCTTTCGTGACGCAGTCACACATATGAACAAACAGAGAGCGTTTACTAACTACTGAGTAAATGACTCTACTTATTCACCCTAATAAGTGATTCACACTCTCCAACAAGGAAAATAGGGACGAGTATTAAGCATACCTTCTTAACTGCTCTCGTGACATCGACGAGAAACTCTCCGTCACAGATCCATTTTCTCAAGTCCACATAAGAAACCAACAAAGAAAACCCAAACCTTAGCTAATCTCAAGCGCACATCATTTTTCTATATAAGATCCTTATTTTCTTGTTAGAGGCCCATCTGGTATATCTCACTCAGGTAGCCCGGTCCATATTCTTTACTCCACTTTAACGTCTGTCTTCGGTTTAGTGAAGAATTCGCACTTTCCTACTTCGTTGGATTACTGAAAAAATCGAACGTGAATATGAATTTGAAAGCTGTATTTTTTTTTTTTTTTTAAAGGGCCTTCTTTTGAAAGCTGTATTATGATGAATCGATACATGTAAAAGATACATGGGCTCAAAAGTTTTATAGGGGATAAATATTTTGATATGTAAAATATTAAACATTAAGATTTGACATCAGCAAAAGAAGTCTCTAATAATTTAAATCGTGTCATTACTATTATCAAAGTGATCTTAAGTAGACTATTCTATGTGAGATACTTTGTTTTTGTCTGGATTGAAATTATAAATTAGATGCAATCATTCAAAAGTACAAGACGTGGTGATGACTAAAGAAGAAAGGTGACGTGGATCCTAGTTAAATGGTTATTTATTTATGGAAAGAAAGAAAAAAAAGCGATGGAGCAAACTTGGTGTGTGATGGTTCGCTGCTCGCCGTCTGACTATCCTTAAGGCAAGCAAAAGCGACATTAATTAGTAATATAACCATGACGAGTGGTTAATTAATCATTAATCAACTCATAAATGTAACATTCAAGCTTCTCCTGCTGGCATCCTCTTTGAACTTGATCTAATTAACGATCTCTTATTTGATAAAGATGAAGTAGATAGCTTATCGGCTATAGACGAATGAAATGCAAAATTCATAGTTTAAATATATGAAATTAGAAGTTTGACATGAAATAATTATAAATTTCAATTATAATAACTATAGTTACTATAGAAATGTGTTTTCACAACGAAACGTCGAATGCAAATCAAAACAAAAACCATATAAACGCAAACTTTAATCAGAGATTAAGCGCAAACGCGTGTACTATAAAAATCAACTGGAACGCGGTTGGTCGACGTCGTAAGCAGTGCGGTGTTTGTCCTCTGCGTATGAAAAGAGGTCACGAGCTCATTGAATTTTAAACAGCCAACCTTTTTTTTCTTCCTTAAAACTTTTCATTTGACGTCACCCAAAGTCAAGTCTCATCGCAATGTTTTCACGTTTTTGTTTTTGTTCAAATATACATTATCTCTTTATGTTTTTGTTACGGTCCAGTTATATTTCTCAACTGTTAAAAAAAAAAAATTATTTCTCATCACAATTTATATGTCTTTGCAAAGTATGCATCAAATCGAGCCAAACATAATACGAAAATAAATAAACTAAATCAGAATGGATAATAACAAATGGATAAATTCATGATTTCATCATATCGCTTATTTCCTTAAGAGTCCAAATATATCTACTCAAGGATTAGATCAAATAAATTACGCAATTTTTGCTTGTTCCGAAAATAGATATATATCAAATATCTGTAAAAGATACACCTTTTTGTCAATGATCTGTAGAAAATGCAAAACCTTTTTATTTTATCATGAACTATCACAAAATGTATATTTCTTTTGTTACAAATTAATTCGAAGTTCAAACAATTATATCACGGGTTGCACATGAAGACGAAGTGCTATGGACGGTGGAGTATTCACGCCGCAATTTCTTATACATCTAAAAATTCACGTTACCAAATCTATTAAATTCGCATAATTCGCATCCTTTAAAAATAAATTATAATGCGTTGTCATTTGAAACGTTTCAGAATAGCACTTTCGAGTTTCAAACCGATAACTCGTAAATTACGAACACACAATCTCTTAAAAGTTAAAACTAACATGGTTAAAGATATTCATAAAGCAATTCTATTCATATACATTTGTTTAAATAATATTTTATCTTTTTTTGTCATGAAATATAATTTTTATCACCGGCCAAATGATATCATATTACGTTTTAACAATGTAAACTACCAATAATTATTTTCATATTTATTTAAAAAACGTAAAACAACATCAAATTTAAAGAATTTTTCTATAAAAATTAAACATCGAATTTAAAATAGAAAGTGTAATCTTAAAAAAAACAAAAAGGACATGCAATCTGAGTAGATGCTGACTCAGAGGTTGGTCAAAAACACAGCTAATGGAGATAATATTTATACACGTCACGCTGACTTGTTTTTCTCCTCCCAACTTGTTAATTTCTTTAATATTCCGAAAATATCTCAATAACAAAAAGAACACAGCTGTTCTTCTCGACTCCCAATTTGCTTTTAATTTTCTATTTTGCTGTTAAGGACTCACTTTATTTCATTATTTCACAATTCAGGACTCTTAGATTTTCCTCGTTTTTAAAATCATTGTGTACTCTTTCCTTTTTAACATTTTCTCATTTTTAAGATTATCTTATACGATTTTAAAATAGAATAAAGTTTGTTAGTTGTTATGTACTAGCATAGCTTGACCTTTTTATAAACTCAATGTGGATCAAATACAGCAACAATTGAATTTAAAATCAGGGAAAAAATCATCATAATTTATTTAAACTCTAAATTTAGAAATTCTTGCGAGTCCAATCTTTCCAAAAACTAATAACCCTATCTCACTCAGAAAATATCGGTAAATAGTAAATCATAATTAATCAAATCCGCGTCAAGAGATTAATTTCAACAAACTACTAAGATAAAGATAGTTCAGGCAAAACTCACATTTTGTTCGGAGCGTGTAGAACACGAACATTGCTTAAAAAGGTGATCTGAGTGACACGCGCACTTAAGAGCGCGTGAATTTGATGTTACGAAGATACGGCGAAGTGTGACGTGTTTTTGGTACATTAATTTCAGTTTGAGGACACAATACAAGTTAGGTTTGTGATCTAAGGACTTGCACTGTCTCCAAATCTGCAGGAAGGACTTTTTGATTGGATCAATATAAATACCTTCTCCATTCTCTTCTCTCTTCAACAATATCTTCACAATTCACACTTCTCCACGTTTTTTTAATTTCTTCGTTTGATTACGCATCAAATTCCGAGCAAGATGACTATTCTTGTTGAACATTACGTCACTGGTAACGTTTCATTGCTTTATTTCAAAAGTTATACTTTCGATTAGCTTAAATTTTATGCTTAGCTTAATCTCAATAATGATAATGATAGTTGCTTTTAAGTTGTTTTCGCCATATTTGATATATTTTGAGATGTCCTGAACTAGATACAGAGACTAGTTTGATATTAGTGCACAAGAATATGATCACTTTCTTAAAATAAGGGTAATTGTTAATTAATATTATGGTGACTATTATAGATTCAATAATCGAGGAAAAGAAAAAAAGGGGTGATGAATTGGTGTTGGATGGAGGTTTTGTGGTTCCAAAATCCAAGGAAGCTGATGGATTTGATGCCCCTGATATCAATTTTCTGGGCCACTCTTTTAGGTTTGTTTGTTTTTTTTTGTTTTTTATCTCTACTTATTACTTAATTGATTAATTAATCGACATTTAACATGGACATAAACTATAAACTAATTACAATCTGTTTTTTTTTCTTTTCTTTCTATTTAGGGATTATGAGAATGGTGCAAGTGAGAGACAGCAAGGTGTTGAGGAATTCTACAGGATGCAACACATTCACCAGACTTATGACTTTGTAAGCCAAACAAATCTAATTCATAAGTAAATGATAGAGTAGTAAAGTGTTAATTATAACTGAAAATTAAAACTCGAACAAAATTGGACAGGTGAAAAAGATGAGAAAAGAATATGGAAAACTGAACAAGATGGAAATGAGTATATGGGAATGTTGTGAGCTATTAAACAATGTGGTCGATGATAGCGATCCAGATCTTGATGAACCTCAAATCCAACACCTTCTCCAAACCGCTGAAGCCATTCGCAGGGACTATCCTGATGAAGATTGGCTCCATCTCACCGCCTTAATCCATGGTACATGTCTTGTTTTGCTCTCTAGCTCATAAATTATAATAATATTCATAAACCGTCATCTTTTTGTGTGATACTTATCTTACTAGAGTTATCTATGTTGAATATTAAACGGTCAACAATTCAGAGTTCTGTGTTATATTACTACATCTTAGATTGGTCAGTATTAAAACTGTTACATATCTTCATGCATACATGTAGATTAATCCATACATCTATCAAGGCAACCGAATTCATTTAATATTTTGGGTTAAATTACATGCACAATATGATTTTTATAATCTTGGGTCATTATGACAAAAAAAAAAATAATCTTGGGTCATTATTGGATTTTGAGTTACTATTGTTTTTGTTACAGATCTTGGAAAGGTTCTCCTTTTGCCGGAATTCGGTGGTCTTCCCCAGTGGGCTGTCGTTGGTGTGTATTAAAATACATGAATTATATTATCATACAGTATATATTAGTCTATAATTATATATTTCATTTTATTCTGTTACGTAAGAACAAAATTGTATGTAAAATTATTAACACTTTCGTTGAATTACAGGCGATACATTTCCAGTTGGATGCACCTTCGACTCGGCAAATATTCACCACAAGGTACGTAGTACATTTCGGATTTGTTTAAGAAACTTTCAACTCTAAATATTTTAACATTAAAACCAAAAAGTTCAACTCTAACGTTTTCAATATTAGTATCGGTTGAACTTATACTAATATTAGTATCGCTGACATCAAAATTAGCTTGTTACTTTAATTAATTATTTTCCATTATACAATCTTGCAGTATTTTAAAGAAAATCCTGATACCAACAATACAAAGTACAGCACAAAAAATGGAGTTTACAGTGAAGGATGTGGATTGGACAATGTTCTCATGTCTTGGGGTCATGACGACTACATGTATTTGGTATTTTCTCAAAAAAAATATTCTTCTTTTTTTTTGGTCGAACAAAAAAAAAATTCTTCTTATTTACCATAAATAAAGTTTATTAGCTAAAAAAAACCAACATGTACTTTACTGATTTGATAATTTAAAATAGGTTGCTAAGGAGAATGGCTCAACTCTTCCTCACGCTGGTCTCTTCATTATTCGATACCACTCATTTTATCGTACGTACTCAAATGTCAACCATATCTTATACGCTTTCACTCAGGAAACTAATTACCGATATTAGATGCTTATTATCATTGTTATGAACATTCAAATAAATAATTATGCAGCACTGCACAAGGCGGGAACCTACACACACTTGATGAACGATGAGGACAAAGAGGATCTCAAGTGGCTCCATGTCTTTAAGTAAGAATATTTTCACTTATTTATATACTAAGTTTCATCTAATTAAACTCCATTCTTTTGGTATTCTAACGAATAAAAATGAAATTGCAGTAAATATGACCTATACAGTAAGAGCAAAGTTCATGTCGATGTCGAACAAGTGAAGCCTTACTACATTTCCCTTATCAACAAGGTAAAACTACTTGATATATTTCAATACTATATGCGTTTTAATACACAAATTTGTACAATATGTAATATATTTACCTTTTTAATAACTTTGCAGTATTTTCCGGAAAAATTAAGATGGTGAGATACAAAAGTTGTGAAATCACCAATGACATTTTACTTGGAGGACGAGATCGAAGGATTATGAGTTTCTATTGTATAAAACGGAAGTTTAACCTATCTAATAAAAAAGTTATGGTGTTCATTCTTGCTTTTCCCATCAAATTTAAGAATTATGTTGTATGCAATAAGCATTTTATCCATAAAAAAAAAATTAAGCTTATCTCTAAAGTTTCCCTGAGTTCTAAAATTTGTCTTTATATAGTGATCTCATCGGTAAAAAATTATCAAATAACGTATTGCCTTATTGGACTGTTGATCAAGAATTTATTCTCTACATTGTAAAACCAAGATCAATTATGCTTGAAAGTAAAAGAATTAACGGTTTCATTCACAATTCTTGAACTATCTGAATTGGTAAAACTATATCGTTTAATTGATCTATTGTAAAGCTAATGATTCTCCCAGTCCTCAACATAACCAAAAAAACTCTATGAATTTACTCATATAACTATCCCTATTGGTTTCGCAACATTGTCATCTAGCAAAAACTCTTTTGTAAAATTTGTTTAAATTTTGGTTAAACATGTACTTACAAAATAGTGAGTTTGTGTAAATGAATTATTTATTTTTAGGATAAGAGTAAAAAGTTCATCTGACTATTCTATATTTATTCTAACTAGCACGACTTCCACACAAAGCATAAAGGAAACATTTTTTTTTTCATTCCAAGTGGTCAAAAAGTGAATTAATAATACAAGAAGTTGTCTAACAGTGTGATGGAATGGAAACAAACAAGCCACTTGAATTAATGGGCCTTGTCCATAAGTTGTATAGGTGAAAGTATGTTGGCTTTGCTCGTCTCCACAATGCAACCATTCATCACCATTTCCTCCAGCATGAAATGAGCTTTCTCCAGATGGAACATTATGTCAAGCTCACACTGCACAATTTCCACATACAAAAACTATGTATCACAAAAGAGGAAACACAAAACAAGACAAGTACTTTTTTGATTCTAGACCGAAAAAGCTTACCACATTTCCAAAATGCTTGTCCATCGTCTCGACCAAAAGATGTATAAACTCTAGAATCGCCAGCTCGTTCTAGGACAAGAATCGAAGAAAACAGTTTGCTTTAGCAATTAGTATCAGCAAAGCAAACAATTTAGAGACGAGTGAACAGAAAAAATCTAAGCTTTACTGTTGACAAACTTAGGATATGCAAAATAGTTTCTATGTAGCGGATTATAATAAGATTTCTTCCTTATGATCATCCACAACATTCTATATTGTTCATCAACATCATACTAAAGCCGGTATCGTAAACACAACACACACATTTCATTTGAAATTTCAAAAAACTGATTTCGCAGCTCATAAGAAAACAGAGGAAGTATATAACTTACTTCATCGTCATCAACTCCAACCATGAAGAACAGAGATGCGTAACGCCTGTAGACGATCTTGTAGTTGCGATGCTCTACAAATGAACACTGTTTTATACATCAAAACGCAACAAAATTGAGTCGGATACCTTAAGCCAAAACATCTTTCGAGCTAATCAGTCAAATCAGATCACAGGAGCTCAATGGTAACTATGAACAATGATACTAATCTAAGTCAAACTAATTTGATTCCAATTGGCCAATGGTCATCAAAATTCGCAAATCGTGTATTTCTAGGTTTCCGACGGTAAAACCCAATTATCTAATTTCAGATTCCGATCTAGAAGCAACAAACGTAATTCCGGATCGATACGGATCATCTAACAAATCAAATTCCGGGAATGATCAAAGGCCAATTCCAGGATTTGGGAAGCTAATTACAACCAACCCAGAAGGATCGAAAACCGAAATCAATCGAGTTAAAGAGACGAGATCCGAACCCAAAAATCCAAGATCGATCTAATCGAAATTGAAAAGGAAGAGGGTTACGAACCTGCTGGTCGTTGCGGGCGAGGCATTTACGAACGATCTCGCCTTCGAGAGCTCGACGTTCCTCGAGAGTGAGCCATTCGTAGTACTGAGCCAGACGAGTCTGGCCTTGCTTGTTCACCATCAATATGAACCTTATCCCCATCTCTCTCTCTCTTCCAAGCTCCAAGCCTTTTTGTTCCTCTGCGTTTTTCAGATCCTTTTCGATTTTTACTTCTTTCTTCTTCTTCTTGGAGCTCTAATTTTTCTCAGAACTCTTTTGTTTAAAGTGTTTCTAGAAGGAAATAAATTATTAAGAAAATAAAAATTCAAATACACTAAATTCCGACAACTTTTTTTATGTATCGGCCCATATAAATTAAACGTAGCCCACTAATATTCTCTCTTAACCCTTAAGACATCGAAAAGCCCACGTCATAGTGGTAGATTCAGATATAGAACCGGTCGTTGCAATCTAACTAATCAATTTTGAACAAGAAAAACATTGGTTAAGAGTGAATTTTTTATTAAAAATGTAACCCAGTAGTCGTCTTTTGGAGCTCTCAAGAAGTACTTTCTCAAGTTTGTGGAGAATATTCTCCTAGACTTCTAAAGAACACACTCTTCCAAGCTTTAAGATGAAACTCTTTTTTTTTTTTTTTTTTTTTGTATGAATTCTATTGATGGCGCATGCGATAAAGCTTATTAAAATGTGTTTCTTATGATTATGTGCACTCAAAAGTCAAAATGAAGAGACAGCAAAACAAACCATGATGTTATTCCCTTTATATTCCTTGGGTCTTAATAGATAGTAGATAATATTATACATATGTTCTTTCTATACATACTTAAATTCAAAATTTAAAACCGAGATATTTGGATATGGTTTAATGTCTAGAGTTGATCAGATTCTGATACTTTGCACCTGATTAAGTTTTCTAAAAAAATATATATATATATTATATAGACTATGTATGTGTGTATATAGTGGCGGACCTAACAAATTTTTTAATCGGTGTCAATTTGTCAACTAAGTAAAAAAAAATATACTATCAAAATGGTTTAAAGGAGACTTGAACCTGGGGTTAAGAAGGTTCATAAGCCATTTGTATATATATATATATAGATATATAACATATATATATTAGATAAATATTTACTTAAATTTCTACAAGCAGATAAAGATATACATTAATTACTAGCAGATATATTTACCAAATATAATTTTAAGATTTGTTTCCCGATAAGAACAAAAGAAAGAAAATCTAATGCACAACTTTTATGTAATAAGGAGTAAAAAATAGCATAAGATTATATTAGTGCAGTGCATCACACTGAGACACTCCTATAAATAATATGTGTGCACCGCAAACCCAAATAATTATACACCAAAAAAAATCCTAATATTACAATCACACAATAAATCACATAGAAATGAGGAAATCAGACTTAATAGCCTGTGTCGTTACAATCACAATCTTAACTTCACCTTTTAATGTTATGATGGTGCATAGTTTAACGCCATGTGGAGAAGCCACCAATGCTTTAAAACCGTGTTTGGCATACCTATTATTTCCAGGTGTTAAACCAACACCAGAGTGTTGCAAAGGCTTAGACACCGTGAATCGTGGTGTTAAAACGTATGAAGATCGTCGAGATATGTGCATGTGTTTGACTATTGAAGCATCGATTTTTTCAACCGATCCCAGCAAGTTTGCCACTTTGCCTCAATTGTGTGGTGTTACCTTATTTGCACCCATTGGTCCAAAATTTGATTGTAACACGTAATTCTTATAAATTAAGTATTTTCTTACTTATATTTTTTGGTTAATCTCTTAGTTACATTTTTTATTTTAGAATATCTCTTTCCTAATTTTCTTAATGTTTTTTTTTGTGCAGCATCAAACCTTAAGGTGAAGAAGAAGAAGAAGTAGGGATAAAAATGAAGATATCAAATAAAAAGTTGATTTAATGTATAACAAATGTCCTTCAAATAATAAAACAAGATTTTAATTATTTTTTATATATATTTTTAGTTTTTCGGGGGAATGAGGTAGCTATCACAAAATCAAAATTGAATTTGATCAAATAACTTCTTCTCATTTTTTTTCTACTTAGTAACTAGCTCTTTTATATAGTTTAATGGACACACCCTTGAGTTGACAAAAATATAGTCTATGTGGTTATGATAATATAAACATATAATAATTGAAATTATCGGAAACTTGTGAAAGTTTTCATTATTTTATGAAAGCTTTTGAAAATTTTCATCTTCTTCATTGTAAATGTTCAATTTTATTAATTTTCAATCTAAATTTAAATCGTGAAAACTAAACCTTAATCCTAAGCTAATGATCCCATTTTAGCAAATTATGAAACCGAAATGTGCTATTCATTCCTCTGTTTTCTTTTCTTTTAAACCATAAATTGTATATGTGAGTTAACCCATTTATTAATATGTATATGTAAACATCACACACTAACCCAACGGGAACCAAATACTTCTCTTTGTTTTTATTTAGAGATATTAGCTGGCGGCTTGAATATCCAAAACATAAGATTCATACGATTGTCTGTCCTCTTGCTAGATTCAAGTATTATTTTTAAGAATAATTATAAGAAATGACCATCTCACCTACACAATTTGCAGAAATGACCAAACTAAAAAAACGACACTGTACATATTTTTTTAATACACTTTCATCCCTACTAATCTATATAGCTAGCCTATCATCTCTCTTTCTCTTTTCTCCATTCTCCATTCTCATTTCTTCTTTCTCATTTCTCCTTTCTCTTCTTCGTCTCTATTTTGTATGTCTATATTATATATTTTTTTTCACTTTCATCTTCGAGATTTACTCTTCAAAATAATATTTCCCCAACAATATCAAATCATTATTACCGGATCTGTTTATTGAAAAGTTTGGATCTAAAATTTATTGTATATAATCAAAGCTGATGAAATTCTATCTTTGATTTGAACTTTCAATCAAAAATTAACATTGATTTGGTTGTAGTTGTACACTGGTATAGTCATCCTGACTTCTCCATCGTTGATCAAATTAAGTTTCATTTTTGACTTTTTTTTGTAAGGAATAACAACTCCGTATTCAACTGCTAGAACAACCGACGATTCTATTAGATTGATGCTAACATATATAATAATGTGTATCTAGCTGTATTATTTTATAATTTTATTATTAAACAGCTAACATATCTACTAGAATGTTATATGTATTTATAGCGCACTAACTACAAAAATAACACCTTTAACAATCTAGATAATTTATTATTGTTATCAATCTAACATAGTTTTTATCTAGTTAATTATAATGTTAGACGTTAATTTTATATGTAACGTGCTACGTATATCAATAACATCTTTAGTCATATATATAACTTATTATTGTTATCAGTCTAACATATTTTTTACCTAGTAAATTATAGTGTTAGACGTTAATATATATGTTAACGTGCTAAATGTATCAATAATATATTTAATTATCTATATAACTCATTATTGTTATCAATTTAACATTATATTTATTGTGTAAAACATATAATAACTATTACTCTATAACAAAATATGTAACTTGTTATTATAATATATATTGTTCATCTGACATAAATAATTTGTGTGGTTGTGATAAATGGAGAGATATCTCCATTACCCTATAAAATTTTTGCAATCAGCCTACAAAATGATATCATTTTTTGTCAAACTACATCGTTCAACTTGACAATAAATATCAGGGGTACAAAAGTCTTTGCTGATAACTATAAACACAGTAACTTTAGTTTGCTGTGAGTCCTTGGTTATTCTGGCAAATTCGTCTCTCTTTTAGATTATTGAACTAATTAACTCTATTTTAATATTAATAGTAATATTTGTGGACATTCTTTTGTTTTTATTTTGAGACATCAGTTGGGTGCTTGGGTACCCCAGATATACGAAACACACAATAGTTTGTCCATTAGCTGCATTCAAGTATTTTTGTAATTTTCTTAATATTTATTTATTAACATTATCTTCTTTTTTTTGTTAAAGTATTTATTAACATTGTCTTCTTATGAATATCATCGAAATTTGTGTGATGACTCAATGTTTATTTTCCAAAATTTATATTAGTGGTAAAAATGAGTCTTTTTTTTGTCTGCGTTATATCCAGGTTATGAGGTAAAACTCCAAGTTGTACTTCTTCGTAATAACTATCGACTTAAGGTGCATGTAGTGCATGTAATAGAAATTGAATGGTATTTAAAAACAAAAAAAAAACAAGAAGACTATAACGAAATAAAAAACGAATAATGTAAACATATAATTTGAATTTTTAAAGGAGTATTTTGTTGTCCAAAAAAGAGTATTTCATTTTGACCCCAAAAAAAAAAGAGTATTTCATTGAATCGGTTGGAAATGATAGGAAAACATGTTCCCTAGAAATTAAGAATTCATCTAGTAAGGGACATAATATTATGGGTGGAAAATATTAATACTATTTAATACAATTCATTTCGATTAATTTTCTATGTTAAATGGATGACTCATCCCAAAATCTATTGGTGTGTCCCCTCCATGTGAGGCGATAAAAGATCTTAAATTCTTCACATTTCATTAATCGATTTCCCAAGTCAACGCAATCTCTACATTTCACACTCCGAAGCCTCCTAAGTCCTTAATCCTAAGTTATTTTATTTGTAAACGACTTCATGGTCATTTGTCGTTTTTATTTTATTTTATTAGTAAACGACTCTATGGTAGTTTGTCGGTTTTATTATATTCTATCTATCAAATTGGTCACAATTCACAACAGTGCTTATTTTAACGTCGGTCATAACAACAGTGGTTCATTTCTTCACATTCTTATTTTTGTGGAACAAAAGAAAAAAGCAACTGATGTGACATAACTACTGTGATAGCAAAATAGCAGAGGCAGTGAAAATACTATTATCAGTAAGCTACAAATCAAAATCATCTTCATATTAACCAAAATTACATAAAAATTCAATATGAAGATGATTTTGATTTGTAGTTTACTGATTCTATTGATACTGCCACCGTATTATAATCCAAATTTATAGATAAATATGTGTATAAATTGTAAACGACTAAAAGAAACCAATGTCAGCATACTTTTAGAAAAGAGAAATGTATTAAACGTTAAATGTTGCAAATTGTTAATATTGTACATAATTATAAGAATTTGAATTTGGATGGGGACTAATGGACGATATTATCACAAAACTACAATGCTACATTTGTTGGTCATACATACGTCGCTTATGACTCATAAGGTAAGCGTGTTTACTAATATAATTCATCATTTCATTGACTCCACAGTATTCTCATCCAAAGACATACAAAAAGATGAATTAGAGCATGAGGCCTTTGAAAAAAAATGAATCATACGTTGAAAACAAAACAGTAACCGAGAAAGCAAAACTCCATAAAATCTCTGCCCCCACAAAAGCCTAACTCACTCATCAGTCATCATTAATCAATGCTTCAACCACACTTCTGTAAGAAAAACCTCAACAAAAAAAAAATCATCTTAACTTCATTTCTCTTTCCAAGTTTCAACATTCCCCAGAGAATGTATAAAGACAGAACCTTTTAATCAAAGCTTCTTGAGTTGAGTTTGATCAGTTTCAAGAAAAGGAACCAAGAAGAAATGATGATGAAGAAGAAGAAAGGCAACAACTTTAAGCTACTGAGTTTGTTTCTGTTTCTTGGTTTATGCGTTGGAGACTACGGCATTGGAGTCGGAATCGGCGACGACGGAGTTTGGGTCGGCGGCGGCGGCGGCGGCGGAAACCCTAATTCCGATCCTGGCTCGGCTCCGAAGCAACAGACGAATGCAGCTTACAGTGCTCTTCAATCCTGGAAATCCGCCATTACAGAGGATCCATCTGGTGTTCTTAAGACATGGGTCGGTGAAGATGTCTGTTCTTACAAAGGGGTTTTCTGTTCTGGTTCGTCTGTCATCGCCATAGATCTAAACAAAGCAAATCTCAAAGGCACCATTGTCAAAGACCTCTCTCTTCTCTCCGATTTAACCATTCTCCATCTCAATAGCAACAGATTCTCCGGTCAAATCCCAGATTCTTTCAGAAACCTAGATTCTCTTCAAGAACTCGATCTCAGCAACAACAGATTCTCAGGCTCTTTCCCTCAAGTCACAATCTACATCCCAAATCTGGTTTACCTCGATCTCCGGTTCAACAGTTTCACCGGTTCGATTCCTGAAAACCTCTTCAACAAACAGTTAGACGCGATTCTCCTCAACAACAACCAATTCACCGGAGAAATTCCCCGGAATCTCGGATACTCTTCGGCCTCGGTGATTAATCTCGCGAATAACAGATTATCCGGCGAAATCCCGACGAGTTTCGGCGTAACCGGATCGAAATTGAAGGAGGTTCTGTTCTTGAATAACCAGTTAACCGGTTGCATACCGGAATCGGTTGGGTTGTTCTCCGACATTGAAGTCTTCGATGTTAGTTTCAATTCGTTGATGGGTCATGTCCCCGATACGATCTCTTGCTTATCGGAGATCGAGGTTTTAAACCTCGCACACAACAAATTCTCCGGCGATCTTCCCGATTTGGTCTGCTCTTTGAGGAATCTGATAAATCTCACGGTTGCTTTCAATTTCTTCTCCGGGTTTAGCTCCGAGTGTTCGAGAGGAAGCGTCGGGTTTGATTTCACCGGAAATTGTATTCCCGGCAAGGGTTATCAGCGTCCGCAGCCGGATTGCTCGGCGATTCCCGGCAGCGCGTTGAGCTGTCTCAGGATTCCGGCGCAGCCGCTAACGTGCGCTGCGATCGTGGGATTGAAGGTGACTTCATCTCCATGAACATATAAAGTTCGAAGCTTTCATTTTTTTTATTTTGGTTGTTCTCTTTTGCAAGATTTGTTCTTATGCAAAAATGCGCTTTGTGACTTTTATTTTGATAGAAAATGCCAAAAATGGGTTTGTCAGTTAATTAGTAACCAACTGATTTAGTAGAATTGATTACTAGAAGCTTATTTCTGATTTTCAAGTACCTTGTTCTGTTTACTTGTAATCGGATCTTTCTGACAGGAATCAGAAAAACAAAAGAAATAGTGTTAAATTATTTTGACCCGAAAGGGCAAATATTGTTGGATAAAATTTAATATAAGACCACTCGCTCTCTCTATTCAGTATTCATCACTAAATTAAGTGATCTTCAATCAATAGATGAAAAAAGGAATTGGTCATTTTGTTGGTCCAAAATTGGTCCCGTCTTGCCTAACCCCAAAAGAAGAATATTACAATAAGCAAATGCAAAAATCCGTAAAACTCTTTTTAAAAAAGGTAATAAGAATTCAACCGTGTTATTAGGTGATAATAAAAATCCAATCGGATGTGATAACATCCTTTATTCACACAGCTCATAGACCAAAGTAATGTTTCCTACCGTCTTGATCCAACAAGACCCATGTGACATTCTGACCCCGTTCACTTGTCCTTGTTCGTGTATATGGGCTTATCTATTAAGCGTTTCTACCTTTTCTTAATGCAACAAAAGTGATGTTAATTCACATCGTTTTATATTGGAAGGCTGGCTTTAGCATATGATATGGGTAGGTCTCGTTTTGATCTTCAAATATAAAATATCTCGTCAAAAAGTAGCGACATGCATGGTTCTCCAATCTAGGTGAAATCATGGCATCAAAGTGTTAGTATACAATCAAATATTATCTTATCTCAATGTTAGATTAGTCTACACATAAATATCCTACTTGTATCAAAGTCTTAATATATACAGTTAAAGTGCTAGTATATACAACTAAATGAATATAAAATTTTAAATTGACAAAACCTTATTCCATGAGGAACTGCGTAATGTGCACCGTTGCTTAATGTTCACGAGGTAAAGCTGTGCTCGACATGGCAAAGCTATTTGAGAAATATTGGTAAATATTGTAATCTTTGTGGCGAAATTCAATATGGATACAAAAAAAAAATTAACAGTTTTCCTTTGCAATTTTAAATTTCCCATGGATTCTAAAATTAAGAATCCAACTAGTCTTCGATATGGTATATGCTAAAAAATTTCAAAGAGAAAAATATTAACTCATAAGTGATAACTGTGTAGAGAAACTAGAGAGATCTAGACTCACACAATCTTTTCATCAGAGAGGTTGTGCACATACTTAAATGCTTCTTAAAAAAACCATGTTCCTAATCATTTCCATATTGGCCCTCTTCGAATAACACGGGAAAAAACACCCAAGTAATAAACCGAATATAATATTCTTGTTATTTCCTTAAATATTTCTTGCTCGTTAGAAATAGCAGGAAATTAGCAAGGACACGTGGCGTGCATGGAGTTAATGATAAAGCTAGAACAAAGGCGAGACGTGAGTAGAAGAACTGGCTAATTGAAAAACAAATGAGCGGCTGACAATCGGTCTTTCAATCCAACGGTCCAGATTCTCTCTAACGACATTCTTGTTCGTTCCCTATTTATCGAGAGACGACGAAGTCCCCACAGAGTTGCATTGCAAATACATACGTAGAGAGATTAAAAAAGATTTAAAAAAAACGAAACGCGACGAGTAAAAAGGAAAGAAGAAGAAGAAAAAAGAGATCGAGACAATGTCGTGGCAAACTTACGTTGATGAACATTTGATGTGCGATGTCGGCGATGGCCAAGGCCACCATCTCACCGCCGCCGCAATCATCGGCCATGACGGTAGCGTTTGGGCTCAGAGCGCTAACTTTCCTCAGGTTGTCTCCCACTCCTCCTCCAAATCGTTTATCTTCGCGTTTTCATGTATTATTTGCGTCGCGTTTTGGGGCCATGCATGCATGACACGATCGTTTCGTATGTGTTTCCCGTTCTTAGATTCCGATTTGCTTTCGTTAATCATGTTTTGGTTTGGATTGGTTCAAATTTTTTCGCACAATCAGAACATTTACTGATTCATATCGGTGAACTGAAATTTCTTCTAGAACGAACATGTTTTATTGGAGATAGATAACTTGGAGAGCAAGATGTGTTGTACCATTGTACCCTAGCTAGGTATCTCCATCATAAATTGCATCAAATTCATGATTTGGTTCCACTTTTAGTTTGATTGGAGATATTAACATAAATAAAAAAACTGATCATGATTCATCCTCTTCAAACAGTTAAAGCCTCAAGAGATCACGGACATCATGAAAGATTTCGATGAGCCAGGTCACCTCGCTCCCACAGGCTTGTTCCTTGCAGGGCTTAAGTATATGGTCATCCAAGGCGAGCCTGGTGCAGTCATTCGTGGCAAGAAGGTAATTAATCACAAACACTTTCTCTCATTGCACTCCATTTTAAAAATAAGGCCTCAAATGTTTGTTTTCATTGCATTTATATATATATTTTTTGAAGTACATTTAGTGTATATATATGTATACATTTAAATTAATCCACATTTAGCAAAATCACATGGTTAATTGTAAACGTAAAAGCTAAAGGAAAAATCACGTGTAATTAGTAGAATCAACTCTTGCAAAACTTGTTAAAGATCAGATAATTTGCATTTGGTTTTCAAACTATAGAGAGACGTATATGTGAAACTAAAACCCGAAAGCAAATTTTCTAAATTTAAAACCGTCGACATTAGCTAGCGTTGGGATTTTGTGGGATTAATTCTTACTAAAACGTGTGCAGGGAGCTGGAGGAATCACGATCAAGAAAACAGGACAATCAATGGTGTTTGGTCTGTACGAAGAACCAGTGACTCCAGGACAATGTAACATGGTCGTCGAGAGGTTGGGTGATTACCTGGTTGAACAGGGTCTTTGAACCCTCTAGAATGCTCCATTGCTCCTGTTCTAATCCTTTAAATCGTTTCTTTCACCTTTCTTTTTCTTTCGGTTGGGTGCATGTTTTTTTTTTTGTTTTTTCTAATTTAATTTTGGGTCTTTCTGGTTAATTTCTACTTTAGCAAAGTTTAAAAGAAAGCTTAAACTAAGGTTGCAGAGAACAATAACGCAAGAGAAGAAGCCGAACGTTGAGACTATTTTTTTCTTCTCTTGATTTCGAGATTTATTTGTTTCTTTTGACTCAGTTTTTATCTCAACATTTTATTTCTTGCGTATATATATACACTCATGTGTTTCTGAGTAATCTGTAACCCTTTACCCTTTTACTCAACTTAACAAAATGATCATAGACACTCCCTAATTAGAGAGATTGATTTTTTTTTTTTCGCAAATTGAAGAAAATATATATATTACTGCATGCATGTTGTTAATCGGATCTAAGTTTATGTAGAAAAAAGGTAACATTACTCTATTTGCCTCCTGTAAACTCAAGTTTGGATAATACCACCGCATAGGTCGATTTTGATTAACTTTGTCAGAACAAATCTATCTAAATAATGGTGGTAAAATTATACTTATTTAGTATATTTTCTTTCGCGTGAAAGGCTTGATTGGAAATAACAGACTTAAATATATAAGTTTATATTATAACATAACAGACTTACTCAAATGTCAAACTTAGTGACACCAGATAATTTATATACACAAATCTGTCTTATTGTCTTATGACCTAAGACCATCTCCAATGGTGAAGCCTTTTAAGAGGCTCCAATCATTATTTTTAATAGTTTTATTCTTATTTTTTGTTTTACAACCTTTATTAGATCCTTTCAAAATTTTAGGGTCCAATGGTAGGATGAAGTGAGGTTCTAAATTTTTTTTTTTTTTTGATGTATTACTACTTACATTAGCCACTAATCATTGTCTGTTATTTGAGAGAGACGTGTTTTTATAATCAACTGAGTCTTATAAACGCATGCAATGAATGTATTTTCAAGGTGAATCAGAGCCTAACCATAGTCTTGTTGTTGTTCTCAGCCGTTGTGTCATTGCTTGCTTTTGCTTCTTTCTTTGGTTTTGGAGATAACAACTCAATCTTCTTCATGCTCTTCTTCTTCTGCAATTGCTCTGTAACCTTCACTGGATCCATAAATCCAATCAGAGTAGGTTTGTTCGCAACAGGATCTGCTCTTACTGTTTCAACACCTGAAACAATTACAAAAGAGAGAGTGTTGAAGCAAAGACGCACAAATCCAAAAAAACACTAGAAATCAACTTCCTCACAATTGCTGCGTTTAACTGACGGAATCAGAGTTCCGATTCTGTAGTTAGATCCAGGAAAAAAAGGAAATCAGAAACTCATAAACCATTGAAGGTTTTGGAATGCTCGATCGTGATGGGAAAAATCAAGCGCAGAGGAAAACGACGGTGACCGGCGACGTATCCTGTCCCTTCTTCTTCTCCGCATGTCCTTGCTCATAGTCACGCACCATTTCCGTCTCCGTCTTCTTCTGCGAACATCAAAAACCGGAAAACAAATTCTCAATAAAAAATTTCATGAACCAGAAGGAAAAAAATAAAAAATCCGAGACGCATTTGATGAATCGCTGGAGGGAGAGAGAACGAGTTTGGGAGTGGCTGAAAGATAGAATCCACAAAACATTTCTCAAAGCCTCTGGTTTACCTAGAGTGTCTTATTAAAAAAACAAAAAAAAAAATTAAAAACATACAACCAATCAATGAACACCACGTATGAGGCTCAAGAGAGGTTCTACAAACTCTAAAATAAGGAACGTTTCTGCTTAATAATGCCATTAAATCTTTTCTTTTTAATTATAATTAATTTAAGAACCTCTAATGATATTATGGTTTTGGAGCTGCTCTAAGAGATCTAGTGTGTTCGCTAAACTTCATTTTAATTGACTTACTTAATTTTGGTCATCGATTAATTACATAAGTTTGCTATATGTGATGCAGATAAATATTTGGAAATATTTCAAATATTTTAATTATTTATTTTATTATTAAGATAATTTTCTTTTATTATTTTAGAGTTTTATAGTATTTTGGATTTATTATAAATAAGCAGTTTAAGCTTAAGTTGTATTCAGTTTTTGATGAATTAATGAAATTGAACTTTTGTCTCTTTGTTCCTTGTTTTCGGTAGATATAAAGAGATCTCAACAAATCTAAGAAGACTTGATTTATTCGGGTATTCTTAGACTAAATGAATAATCTTGCGATTATCATAGTTTTCCGGGTATTCTCAGAATCAACGGATCACTATTCTATTTTTCAAAGCTTTCGCTACATCAATATGACACCATAATTATTGAAAATGTGTTAGATCTTTCATAGTGGTAGACTTTTTGTAATGGTGTTCATAGATTTTAGTAAATTTAATACATAAGTCCATTTTAAAACAGATTTATTTTGGCTATTTCCCGCTTTAAATTAATAATTTTCTCAATTTTGTCTGCGATCTAAAAGAAGACTTACAAATGTAAGATCAAGGATTGGAGCATGATTTTACAACAAAGAGATTAATTGATAGAGAAGAAGTAGATCGAGAAAACCTGCTCTCAGATTTCACAGAAGAAACAAACTCGTCGGAGAAGTCAATACCCGCCGGAGAAGAATAAGAAGATGTCGTGTCAATCGTCACAGAGCGCCAAATTTCCTCAGGTTTTTTTATTTATTTCTTTGTTCTCAATCTTCTGTTTTCTTCGTTTCTCTGATCAATACTTCTTTGAAGTCTCGGAACAAAAAGTATATATATATATAATGAAAAGACACAATATTAATAGATATGTTTTTGGATTTTTTGATGTGTAATAAACACCGAAGGTTAAAGATCATACTAGTGGAGAGAAGCAGCTAGTGTTGAAGCAACTGGAGCCATGGCGTGAACTAAAAGACAAAGTGGTTCTTGTGACAGGAGCTTCCTCTGGTATAGGAAGAGAGATCTGTCTTGATTTAGGCAAAGCTGGCTGCAAGATTATCGCAGCTGCTCGCCGTGTCGATCTCCTCAACTCTCTCTGCTCTGAAATCAACAGCTTCGGTTCAACCGGAACCAACAACCAACCCGCAGCTCTCGAGCCAGACGTTTCATCGGACGCAGCCACAATTCAAAAAGCGGTTAAGGAAGCTTGGCAAGTCTTTGGAAAGATCGATGCGTTGATCAACAACGCCGGAATCACAGGCAGTGTCAAGTCGAGTTTGGATTTGTGTGAGGACGAGTGGGACAATGTGTTCAGGACCAACTTAACCGGACCTTGGTTAATCTCAAAATACGTCTGCGTTCTAATGCGAGACTGTAAACTTAGTGGCTCGGTGATTAACATCTCATCAATCTCAGGGCTCAACAGAACTATAGTGCCTTGTGCACTCGCTTACAATTGTTCTAAAGCCAGTGTTCACACCATGACGAGGATGATGGCTATTGAGTTAGGTGTTTACAATATCAGAGTGAACTCGATCGCACCGGGGCTTTTCAAGTCAGAGATTACTCAAAGTCTTTTGCAGAAAGTGTGGTTCAAGAACGTTGTTGAGCGTATTATCCCTTTAAAGAAGCCACAGGCCGTGGATCCGGGGCTTACCTCTCTCGTTCGCTATCTTATTCATGACTCTTCTCAATATGTCTCTGCCTATTTTCTCTTCTCTATGAGCCCAAAATCTTGTGTGTTTTGTAATAAGTGAATTCATTTACACATTCTCCACCTAACATTTTAAAAACTAATTGAAATGTGGTTGCATCAAACGGACACACATATGTTATTATCAGTTTGTTTTCTCCATCAAAACTTGTAAAAATCTATAAAAGAAAACATAGAAATTCGAATGTTGTTATGATTATAAGTCTTATATTAAAAGATATACAAAACTCAGGTAGTGTAAATTTAGGAAACCTAAAAGAAAACGATTGAGAGACAAGTCTTCCACTGCCACGACGGCTTGCTCTCCAAGTGATTTGGCACAAGAACTTAAGGGATCTTTTCCTCATTCTTTAGCGAATTTACTATATGTTTTCGTTATATCTTCTTCAAAAACTTTTCAAAAATTAGCATTCATTGTGAAGAAGGTTTCTTTTTGGTTGAAATATAGTGTTACATTAGACCAAAAAAAAGGAAAAGAATGAGTAACATACATAAGAGAAAAAAAACAGAGCACTCTGTTTGGCCACCGTGGTATATGCCTTGTCTTGGTCGTCTTATTCCCAACCACAAGTTGCGAGTTTACTCTGTTTTGGTGTGAGCCTTGTAGGTCCTTATATATTTACCAGAGTTATACACATCCCAAATGTTAACCTTAATATCCATACCTGCAGAGAGAAGCAAATGTTCATGCTTGGGGAAGAACCAAAATTGCGGAAATCCCTTTAAGGAGGCCACTCCACGTATGAACCAAACATTTTTTAATGTAACAATGATCGTTGTTTGTAATCTTTCACTTCATTTCCATGAAATCTGCTCTTGTTCCCTTTGACTTTGCCTTCTTGTCCCTTCTCAATCTTTTTGTTAGCATAGCATGGTCCTCCGCATACTTCTTCACTTTAAAAACACTATCTCCACTTTCTCATTCCCTCTTGTTTGAATCAAAGATTATAACTATTCATTGTATTGCTCCTTTTTTTTTAAAAAAAAAAAGAACAAAGAATAAGGCAGACTTTAATCTGCTATTGACACCTTGTATTCAAATTTATATTGCTTTGATTGGGACCCCTATCACAATATCATAGTATAATACACAGAACAAATTTTAAATAATACCCAATCAAGAAACTGATCAATCAAAACCACAAAATCCAGAATCCTAGATTAATCTCTAAATGAGAACTGAAGGGATTCTAAACCAGAATCCTAGATTAAAATTTGTGAAAAGCAGGGTACTATTCTAATGTCCAAGGCCACCTTAATTAATAATCTTGCCAATTTTGAGTAAAAACAATATGATTATGGAAGGTGATATAATAGAAGACCGTCCTAGAATTGTCATACACTTGGCTCGGTGGAGGTTGATAAATCCTTGGATCCAGACCGGTTCGGTGAAAGAGATGCTAAGGCGTGAGCGAGAGCTCGAAAATCCTTAGGCCCAAATCCAAAGAAGAGGTTGGAAATGAGGGGATGGACAAAGTTGATTAAGGATTGCGATACCGGATGTTAGGGTGTGAGACAAGTCCCGAAGTTCCCTAAACCCCAAGTACGACTACAACTCTCTCTCTCACTTTGGAATCGAAGGCTGCGTCAAACAGGATGAAACTACTTGATAAACCGAGAATCGATCAATGGCTAACCACCAAAATATCGATAAGTTCTTAAAAAACAAAAGAGAAAACTCAAAAGAGAAATTTTATAAAAGATCAGTGATGATGGTTCTGAGTACATTGGTGCCTTTATATAGAGGCGAAAGGAGACCATCGGTCATTCACAGAGAATTAAAAGACATTAAATGAAACTAAATGAATCTAAAAATACGTTTAATAACGATCGGACTTCCAGCTGACCCTTCGCATCCTCTCGCTAGACTCTTGAACTCCTTGACCGTTATACTTAGCCGCGAATCGAACCGTGGTCGTGAGATGGGTGTGCATTAACCTCGTTAAAACCTCATTCGGAAAACCCAGTGGGACAAAACCGAATGTAAGGAAAAAGAGTATTAATACAACACCCCAACCAGGTCAGTTCAGACCAGAGTACATGATGACGGTCATGACTTTATGAACGGGTGTTAGGTCGTCAGCTCGGCCTTGGTTCCTTAGCTCGGCGAGAACTCGTTGGATTGCTCCCATAAGCTTCTTGGTACGCGACTTGGTCATTGGTCCGGTTGGCATGGCCAGGACGTCGTTCAGGTCGGATCCTTGGTCTTGTGCCCCGTCCTGAGCCTCGACTTCGTTTAGGTCGGCCATTTGGTCTTGTGTTCCGGCCTGAACCTCGATTTGTACCTCGTCCCTTGTTCCCTCCGGTTCCATGATTCTTCATCCCCCCCTCTTGAAAAGGACTTGTCCTCAAGTCGGCTTCATCTGCGTAAAAAGGGATAATATCAGCGATATTGAAACTTGAACTGACGGAGTACTTACCTTGGAGGTCGATCTTGTAAGAATTATCGTTGATCCGCTCTAGGATAGTGAATGGTCCGTCTACTCTCGGCATCAATTTAGACTTCCTTTCTTTCAGAAACCTTTTTTTTCTTAGGTAGATCCACACTTGGTCTCCGGGCTCGAACATCTTTTTCGATGTTCCGTCTTTCTTTCGATGTTCCGTACTTCTGGAATTGTTCCGTCTTTCTTTCGATGTTCTGCCTTGCTTTTTCGTGCATTTTCTTCACCAGATCGGCTTTCTTCTTCCCGTCCATGTTTTCACGCTCAGTCATTGGTAAAAGGGTTATATCCAAAGGGGTAAAAGGATTAAAACCATAAACTAACTGAAATGGTGAAAACAGAGTGGTTGAATGAACAGCTCGGTTATAAGCGAACTCAACGTGAGGTAAACATTCCTCCCAAGTCCTAAGGTTCTTTTTAATGACCGATCTCAAGAGGGCTGACAAGGTCCTATTGACCACTTCGGTTTGACCATCGGTCTGGGGATGACAAGCGGTGGAAAAGCACAATTTAGTCCCTAGCTTAGCCCACAACGTTTTCCAAAAGTAACTAAGGAACTTAGTATCCCGATCTGACACTATGGTTCTAGGAACTCCATGTAATCGAACAACTTCCCTAAAGAACAGGTCGGCTATGTTGGAAGCATCATCAGTTTTGTGGCAAGAAACAAAGTGTGCCATCTTAGAGAACCTATCTACTATGACGAAGATAGAGTCCTTACCTCGGCGGGTCCTAGGTAACCCGAGGACGAAGTCCATGGAGATGTCTGTCCACGGCTCGGTAGGGATGGGTAATGGAGTGTACATTCCTGCGCCTTGGCTGCGTCCTTTGGCGAGTTTGCAAACCGTACACCTTTGGCAAATTCTCTCCACGTCCTTCCTGAGGTGTGGCCAGTAAAAATGGTCTTGGACCACACTTAGCGTCTTAAGAACTCCGAAATGTCCCATCAAGCCTCCTCCGTGTGCTTCCCTGACAATCAAGTCACGCATAGAAGTGTTAGGTTTGTACAGTTTATGCTCATAAAACAAGTACCCATCACTTTGATAATATTTTCCATAGGCAAACTTAGAACTGGCGCGATAAGCTTCTTGGAAATCCAGGTCGGTTGCGTAGGCTTCTTTGATCATCTCAAATCCAAGTATCTTGGCATCCAGCGTCGAGATCAGGGTATATCGTCGGGATAGTGCGTCTGCCACAACATTCTCTTTTCCTTGCTTGTACTGAATCACATAAGGGAAGGTCTCGATGAACTCGACCCATCTCGCATGTCGCTTGTTCAACTTCTGTTGTCCTTTGAGATGCTTCAAGGACTGGTGATCGGTATGGATAACGAACTCCTTTGGCCACAAGTAGTGTTGCCACATTTGTAGAGCTCGGACCAATGCATAGAGCTCCTTGTCGTAGGTCGGGTAGTTAAGCGTTGCTCCTGCAAGTTCTTCGCTAAAGTAAGCGATCAGTCGCTTCTCCTGCATAAGCACGGCTCCAATTCCCACTCCGGATGCATCACACTCGATCTCAAAGGTCTTGAGAAAATCGGGCAGGAAAAGTAAGGGTGCGTGTGTAAGCCGGTGCTTGAGGGTCTTGAACGCTTCCTGCTGAGCTCGTTTCCATTTGAATCCAACGTCCTTCTTGATGACTTCAGTGAGAGGGGCTGCGATCGTCCTGAAGTCTCGGACGAACCGGCGATAGAACCCGGCCAGACCGTGGAAGCTGCGAACTTCTCCAATCGTCTTGGGACTTGGCCAGTCTCGGATAGCCTTGATCTTCTCCTCGTCCACCTATATACCCTGTGAACTGACAACAAAGCCTAGAAACACCACGTTATCCGTACAAAAAGAACACTTCTTAAAGTTTCCAAATAAGCGTTCCTTCCTAAGAACTTCTAGCACTTGTTTCAGGTGGCTCACATGTTCCTCTAGACTCTTACTGTAGATCATGATGTCATCAAAATAGACTACTACAAAGACGCCTATAAACAACCTAAGCACATGGTTCATTAACCGCATAAAGGTACTAGGTGCATTTATCAGTTCGAACGGCATGACCAGCCATTCATACAAACCATGTTTGGTTTTGAATGCGGTCTTCCATTCATATCCTTCCTTCATTCGGATCTGATAGTAACCACTTTTTAAATCTATCTTTGTGAACACATTAGACCCATAATGTTCATCTAGCATGTCATCAAGACGAGGGATAAGGTGGCGATACTTTTCCGTGATGTTTTTGATAGCTCGACAATCAACACACATTCGCCAGGTTCCATCCTTCTTTGGCACCAGGAGCACAGGCACGACACAAGGACTTAGACTTTCGCGGATGTAGCCCTTGGCCATCAACTCGTCGACCTGGCGTTGGAGCTCCTTGGTTTCAGTCGGGTTGGTGCTGTACGCAGGTCGGTTGGGTAAGGACGCTCCAAGAACGAGGTCGATCTGGTGCTCAATACCTCGGATCGGTGGTAGTCCGCCTGGATTGTCTTCGGGAAAGACGTCCGCGTATTCCTGCAAAACCCAAGAAATCCTGCTCGGAAGTTCCGGCTCAGAGTTAGACATGCTAGCCAAAGCGGATTTAAACATGAGCAAAATAAAAGGCTGCTTCTCAAGCAAGGCCTGTTTTATCTCTCTTGGCCTCACAAAAAGAGTCTCTCTTCTCACGGGTTGAGTGTTTAAGGCTTTTTGTGGTGGCTCACTCAGTGTATCACTCTCATTTTTAGTGGTGGATGTGTTTAAGGGATCACTCACGGTAGTTTTGCCTTTGCTACTCCTTTCTAGTTGGATTTGATCCAGGTAAACCTTGCGGGGTGATAGAGGCGCCAGTACGACCTTCCGTCCTTGGTGTTGAAACGAGTGTTTGTTGGTGAATCCTTCGTGGACTGCTTTCCGGTCGAACTGCCACGGCCGTCCCAACAAAATGTGTCCAGCTTCCATGGGTAGAACGTCACATAACACTTCATCTTCATACCGTCCAATTTTGAAGGGTACGGTAACCTGCTTGGTGACTTTGAGCTGCCTTTGGTTGTTAAGCCATCGGAGGTTGTACGGATGCGGATGCTTTATGGTTTGCAATCCGAGCTTCTCCACCATACTCTGGCTTGCTACATTCGTGCAACTTCCTCCATCTATGACCATGCTGCAGGTTTTCCCCATGACTATACACCTTGTGTAAAAGAGGTTTTCTCTTTGATCCTCTTCTCGGACCGATTCTTGGGACACCAGTACTCGCCGTGCTACCAGTAGCTTTCCTCCAACCGCATACTCCTCCTCTGGCTCTTCATCATATTTTGGCTCGGCTTCACTTTCTGCCTCGGAGACGACCTCACCGGTGTCCAGCAGAATCATAGCTCTCTGATTTGGACATTTGTTCGCATAGTGACCCTTGCCTCGGCACTTAAAACATTCGATATCCCGAGTCCGGGCTGAGGTGACCTCGGCTTTGCCTTTGAGGTCGGTGCTTTGACCGGGCTTGACTTCGGACTTCGGCCGCGTAGGATAGACAGCTTTGTCTTCTCGGTAGGTCGGTCGCGAACTAGATCCGGCAGTGAACCGATTTGTCCCCTTGCGCCTGAGTTGTTGTTCCAAGAGGATTGCTTTGCGTAACATCTCGTACATGTCTTGGTACTCCTGAAGTTCCATTCGGTCTTGAAGGTCTCGGTTTAACCCACTCAAGAATCTCGCCATCGTCGCGTCCTCAGGTTCAAAGACATCAGCTTTAATCATGAGTCTCTCCACTTCCTGGTGATAGTCTTCTACAGACTTGGTTCCTTGAGTAAGACGTCTGAGCTTGGTGTGCAGCTCGCGTTGATAATGCGCGGGCACGAACCATTGCCTCATTAAAGTAGCCATCTCTTCCCAGGTTTCAACAGACCGTTCTCCGTTTCTTCTTCTACTGATCACAATCTGATCCCACCAATCGATCGCGTAGCCGTTGAATTCTGAAGCGGCTAGATTTATCTTCTTCCTCTCCGGAAGATCTTGACATCCAAAGATGATGTCTACTTTCTTTTCCCATTCCAGGAAGGCGTCCGGGTCGCTCTTGCCGTACAACGCTGGGATCCGGAGCTTCATTCCTCCGAGGTCGTTGTCGTTTCAACCTCTAACCGGTTCGGCTTTGTAACGCTGCTGTGGCCGTCCACCTTCATAACGGTCATTTGGGTTTCTCGCGGGCATGGTGTGTCCTCGGTCACGGATTCCTCCAGCTCGGCCACGAAACATTCGGTTGCCTCGCGGTCTCACTCGGCTACTACCCGATGAATGGTTGTCATCGTAGAAAGGATTGTCGATCTCAGGTTCCTGGTTCCGATCTCGGCTGGCCTCGGCTGATGTGCACAGGTTCCTCACGGTTCTGATCGTTTACTTCCGCTGGCCTCGGCTGACTTTCAAGTCGCTCCATTCGTTGGCTCATGCGCTCCATCATCTCGGTGATTTGATTAAGTTTAGCCTCCATCTCGTTAGGGGTGTACCAGCGAACGTGATTACCGTCTCGGAACGTGTAGAATTCACAGTCGTCCAAAGAGAAATCGGATGACATACAAGTACCTCGCAAAATTGAAAAAACACGTTAGTAATCAAATTTCTCACAAGTGTTTCTCTCTTTGTTCACTCACTCTATTAATGACCTCACAACACACTAGAGTTTTCTCCGGTTCTAAGCAAACTAAATCGACAAATCGACTTAAGCCTTGATAAAAACGTGAATTAAGCAAGTTGGGAGTTTAAGAGACAAGAAGAATAGATAGAAAGAGAAGAATTTAGATCGTTTTTTTTTTTATAACTTTTGGACTTTTTTTTTTGACTTTTGACTTTCCTCTTTTTTTTTTTTTTTTTTTTTTTTTGTTTTAAACGATTTCAAAAGAAGGATGAGAAAAGATTGGATTCTAAAAGCAAAGAAAGATAATACCGAATTCGCAAGTGCGTGGCTCTGATACCACTTGATAGAAGACCGTCCTAGAATTGTCACACACTTGGCTCGGTGGAGGTTGATAGATTCTTGGATCCAGACCGGTTAGGTGAAAGAGATGCTAAGGCGTAAGTGAGAGTTTGAAAATCCTTAGGCCCAAATCCAAAGAAGAGGTTGGAAACGAGGGGATGGACAAAGTTGATTAAGGATTGCGATACCGGATGTTAGGGTGTGAGACAAGTCCCGAAGTTCCCTAAACCCCAAGTACGACTACAACTCTCTCTCTCACTTTGGAATCGAAGGCTGTGTCAAGCAGGATGAAACTACTTGATAAACCGAGAATCGATCAATGGCTAACCACCAAAATATCGATAAGTTCTTAAAGAACAAAAGAGAAAACTCAAAAGAGAAATTTTATAAAAGATCAGTGATGATGGTTCTGAGTACATTGGTGCCTTTATATAGAGGCGAAAGGAGACCATCGGTCATTCACAGAGAATTAAAAGACATTAAATGAAACTAAATGAATCTAAAAATACGTTGAATAACGATCGGACTTCCAGCTGACCCTTCGTATCCTCTCGCTAGACTATTGAACTCCTTGACCGTTATACTTGGCCGCAAATCGAACCGTGGTCGTGAGATGAGTGTGCATTAACCTCGTTAAAACCCCATTCGGAAAACTCAGTGGGACAAAACCGAATGTAAGGAAAAAGAGTATTAATACAACACCCCAACCAGGTCAGTTCGGACCAGAGTACATGATGACGGTCATGACTTTATGAATGGGTGTTAGGTCGTCAGCTCGGCCTTGGTTCCTTAGCTTGGCGAGAACTCGTTGGATTGCTCCCATAAGCTTCTTGGTACGCGACCTGGTCATCGGTCCGGTTGGCATGGCCAGAACGTCATTCAGGTCGGCTCCTTGGTCTTGGCCCCGTTCTGAGCCTCGACTTCGTTTAGGTCGGCCATTTGGTCTTGTGTTCCGGCGTGAACCTCAATTTGTACGTCGTCCCTTATTCCCTCCGGTTCAATAATTCTATCATGATGGGCCAGAAGTAAATGCAATATTGGGTGTAACGGAATAGTATATAGATGATTGAGATCTGCAAAGAGGAATATCCACTCTGTATTCGGAGAGAAGTAGTACTAGAGAACGAATGATGGGCACATTCTGGCATCCCTCAACTTCTCTTTTCCTCTGGATAAATAATTATATACATTTTTAAACTTTCTTTCTATAGAATTATTAATTCAGTCCTCTTTCCAACTCATGATTCCAAACATAACAAGATTCTAGACTTGTAAATTTTAAATCATAAACATAAAGTTTTTACATATAATAGCAAACTGTTAATTTTTTATATATAATTATATACAATATATGTTTTATGGTTTACATTTTTTTGATTTTATAAAGGATTTTAAAGGTTAGAAAGTATATGGTAAGAAAAGATTTTAAAAGCTAATTTTTAGTAATTTTTTTCTTAGTATAGCTTACTATGTAAATGATTGTTCTCCTTCTCCGTCTATTTTACATTCACATTGTATGGTTTTAGTTTTCTTTTATTTCTCTATATATATTTTTTTTCCTGTTGATAAAATTACAGAGATCCTCAACTTATTGTATACAAAAACCATTTTGTGACTAAATTTTTTGTTTTTTATCTTTATGCGTATCTTATTATTTTAATTTTCTTTCCTATTTCCCATTCAAATTTTCTGTATTTCCTACAAATTTTTATATTGTAAGTATACATAAAATATTATATATATAAGATTTATTATTGTATATGATACATAACCATAGCCATTTGTTGCAATTATTTATTTTCAAACAATCATATGTATACTTTACCATAAATTATGAAAGAACCCAATATTTTAAAATATAATAATTAATTTGCTTCGACAGCCCAAAAACTATAATTAATTAAATTAAGCAGTTGACGGGAAAATGATTAAATTTAAAGCACAACATTTCCTTGTCTACGATCAAAAAGAAGCTCACAAAGATAATTGAGAGAAAATAAGTAGAGAAACCTTCTCTGAGATTTCACAGAAGAAACAAACTCGTCGAGGAAGTCAATATCCGCCGGAGAAGAAGAGAAGATGTCGTGGCAATCTTACGTTGATGACCACCTTATGTGCGACGTCGAAGGCAACCACCTCACAGCCGCCGCAATCCTCGGTCAAGACGGCAGTGTCTGGGCACAGAGCGCCAGTTTTCCTCAGGTTTTGTTTTTTTTTGTTTTTGTTCTCAATCTTCTCTTTTCTTCGATTTTCTGATCAATCGTTTGAATTCTCGGAATCGACCGGATTTGGCCGTCTGTTTTTGTGATTTTCCGTCATCGGATCTGAGGAATCTCGGATCTGATTTTGACTTTGCGATCTCCGGTCTTCTTCTCCGGAATCTGATTTTCGCAGTGGTTGAATCTGGGGAATATCCGATCTGCTTCTCTGATACAATCGATCCGTCTGCGAAATCGGATTCAATTAGGTCTTTCGTGTGATTCTGAGATTTCATCGGTATCAGTAGTTAATCGTATGCTCCATAGAAGATCCATGTATCTATTCGTGAACTCATATGCATGCGTTAGCGATACAAATGTTAATGAAAAATTTCACCAAATCCATAGATGCGAGATCTTCTTCTAGGCATATGTATGTAGATTCACTGCTTAACAATTGTTTGTCTGATAACCTCTGTTTCTGATTTTGCCAGTAAGTGAGGAATTTGTTCCATTAAAGATGTGCATCAATAAATCCAAAGTGTTGACTTGTTCGATCTAATGCTTATCGTCGTGTGTTCTTGATATGTTTTCTAGTTGAAAGCTGAAGAAATCGCTGGAATCAAGAAGGATTTCGACGAGCCAGGGACTCTTGCCCCAACGGGACTATTTCTTGGCGGTGCCAAGTACATGGTTGTTCAAGGTGAACCAGGAGCTGTGATCCGAGGGAAGAAGGTAACTTGTTTAGATCAAACATTCAGAAAATTGCTTCTATCGATGAACACTCTTACGAAAAGATAGAATCAGAATTCAATTTTTTACAATCTGTGAATCTGCAGGGACCTGGAGGAGTCACTATCAAGAAGACGACTCAAGCCTTGGTCATTGGTATCTACGAGGAACCGATGACCGGAGGTCAATGCAATTTGGTTGTGGAAAGGCTCGGGGATTACCTCATCGAGTCTGATCTCTAAACCAAGCAAGATTTTCTTCTTTTTTAAACTAAAAGAAAAGAGTGTCATTTTGCCCTTTTGTTTGTGATTGATTGTAATGCTTTCAAACGCAATCAATTGATGATACTTTTAGAACCAATCTTGTTGTTGGTCTTTGTTTACCTTGGTTTGGGGTTTGTGTGTCTTGTAATGGCATTTGATAATCTTTTTTCCCTTCATATGTATTGAGAGTTTTTGGAATTTTTTTTCTTCATGATTTTCTTTTTCTTGGATGGATCTGAGGTTTACGATCTGTGAATCTCTGTTATGGTAAACCGAGATTTTAAATATTAATCTACAATCTTTTAATCAACAAGTTTTCTCCCTGTTGAAATCCACAATCTGTTATGGTATAATAAGCCAAATAGAAAAAGATGTTTGACAAGGAAATATTGGCTCAACACCATCGACATAAATATAAAGGTAATCAGGAATATCTATCTATAAACCGAGGCTAGACTAAATTTCAGATTCATAATCTTTTACTAACAAATAACGCATCATCAAATTAGTTGTTCCGCAAAGTAGATTAAAATCAGAGTTTTGCTGATTAAATTACTAAAATTTGTATCATATGAATTAAGTCAAATAACATTTTTTTCACAAAATTTTGAAAGAATCAAGTTTAAAGTTTGAATTTGGAAATGTAACAATAAGATAATTTAATTATTGGAAAAACGTAATTGATGTGTAAGGATTAAAGGAAAATATATGTTTATTAGATCAATCATATCTCTATTTTCCAATTTTAATCAATATGCTGGTACTTATGCTTACACATCAATAAAGGAAAGAGCTAAATTTGAAGAAGTGAAATTTCCATGGGTTATAAAGATTAAGAACAAAGCGTATAGTATTTGGCCAAAGGGAGTAAATCGTGCTTTTCATATTGTACTGCTTTGTTTCATATTCAATGTCACAATGATGAACATGGTATATCTATTTCAATCTCATGCAATCGAGAAGTAAACAATAATATGGTAGGCTCGTCCGAGGAAAATTAGATGTAACACAAACCAATTTGAGTCATTTGATAAGAAACACTGGTTCAACAATGCATTTATGTCTTGTAAATAAACCAACCTGGTATATTTATAAACTGAGGCTAAACCAATATTCGATATCCATAAGTTTTTTCTAACTAAGAAAACATTATCAAAAATTTTGAATAATCTGAAAACCACACCAAAGGGTAAATTTTACTCTTATATTTATTTATTTGTATGATGTTGTTTAGTATTAGTTTTGTACGAAATTAGAACGATAATGTTATTAATTTTACAATTGAATTTTTGTATTAATATTATTTATGGGTTATATATATGAATATATAGTGGTAGACACATCTCTAATTAATGCGTATTTTGCAAAATCGGTAGATGACAGATTCATCTTGAAAGAGGTTATACAGACAGAACTAGGAACCTTCAATAAGGAGTTCGGTCAGGAGTATTTCAAGACCTTCCGTTCACAAGACATCATGACTTGCCTGGCCAATATGTTCGGAATCAGGTTCAACGTTTACACTTTACACGTTGATGGAGAATGTATTTTACAAAAAAGAAATTTCATTACTTTATATTAGAAGAGATCACAAAGGTTTAGATACAATCCCGAAAGAACTAGTGTTCGACTGGACTCAAATATTATGGAGAACCCTTTGATTCTTGTTGAAAAGATGCTAAAAAGAGACTAGAAAATGCCATTTGGAATGATACAGATTTTTTGCCGGTAAGTAAAATAAACTGGTGGCTTTTAACTTTGTTTAACTTGTTGTTGTTGTTGAGACTGAGTTTAACTTTTTGTTGTTGTTGTTCACTCGCTTTCTTAATTGGTTGTTGTTGGCTTAGTCGATGAAAATCATGGACTATTCGCTGCTCCTTGGAGTAGATGAGGACAAAAAAAGAAATCTTTGTTGGCATCATCGACTACCTGAGAAGGTATATTCTCTCCAAAAGGTTGGAGACTGTAATCAAAGCTTCAGGTATTGTTGGTGTTCCTACCACTATCATTGATCTTGAAGCTTACAAGAAAAGATTTAGAACATCAGTGAAGAGCTACTTTGTCACTGTATGATGTCATGTTGTTCAGAAACACCATCGTGGACCAATTATGCATATGAGGGCATGAATTTTACCTCTTCTCTCTAACTTCGTCAGAGATTTCATATAATATAGAACGTATGGTAGATTGTTCACTCTTGTTCTTTGTTTTCTCACCAGAGACTTCATCACTAGAGCTAATAAGTACAGTGTATTGATTTAACATCAACAAGGTCAGGGACTTCCAAGGTCCATTGTTATTCGATTCATTGTATCAAAGAAAGAACTTTACAATCTCCTTTGAAAATGAGTCGTGGCTATGGTGTCCTTTTGTCTATCCACGAGAAAAATGCTACACCGATTAAGAAGTACACATAGCGGATTCGAAAAACTCTCCAATGGAAAGAGAGAGAGATTTGAAGTTAAATGACATTTTTTATTGAATCTAATGTTAAATTATATTCAAAAAAAATTATATTCAAAAAAAAAAAACACGTTTGATTGAGCTTGTTTAGGAGCTAATGAGAGTAAACACACATAATTTTTGTTTATTGAGTGGAAAACCACTCCTTTAGTCCATCCTCATATCTCAGGTCTCTACTTCGCCGAATAGAGCTTAGCTGGTTCCTTATGTTTTTATCTATCATCTTTGACAACCGCTGCACCATGGTAGGAGGCTCGCCATGCCATTTCAACAGGTTTGTGTATGTTGTAATGGCATTTGATAATATTTTTTTCCTTCATATGTATTGAGTTTTCTGATTTTCATTTCTACATAATTTTTATTTTTTCTTCAATGGATGGATCTGTGATTTACGATCTATTGTTTGAACACATTTTAGCCTGGCAAACATTTTCGTGTACAATTTCACATTAAAAAAAAAAACATGTGAAGATTCAAAGATAAGTTAGATGAATTTACATAAACGATGTAGTTGGAGAAAATGTTTTTGAGCTTTGATTTGCTCGACGGGGCCGGTTAAGCTTGGTTCGGAACTCGGAAGGATAAGACGCGAGTATATTCCAGATCACTTTTATTGAAATCCACAATCTCTTTGAATCTTGAAGATTAACATTTTGTTAAGAAAAATTCTCCATATTGACAGATGTAACACAATTCATATTGATAAGAAACATTGGCTCAACATCCATCGACAGTTCGACACTAATCATATTATTAAGCACTGGAGCTTCTTCCCATACCGTCCTGCTAGACCAAATTTAATCATAAATTTTTACTAACTAATAACGTATCATAAAAATTTAATATCACATGAACGACAAAATAAAATTCTTAGTTTCTTACGTAAAGTATAATAAAACCAGAGTTTTGCTGACTAAATTACATATGATATGAAATATAAATTTTTTCCACAAAAGTTTAAGAGAATCAAGTTCAGTGTTTGAATTTGGAAATTTAACAGTAACGTAATTTAATTATTCGAAAACGTAATTGATGCATAAGATTAGGTATATATGTTTATATTTTCTATTTCGCTAAGGTAGATAATTACCAGTTCTTGTATTTCCTTTGTGTAATTTACCTTTTCTTTTTCGTTTTAGGATCTGTATTTGGTTTAGCCTCATAGGAATGTATATATATATATCCGACCTTATGGTCTGAGAGATACACAACTTTCATATTCTTCCTCGAGAAATACTTTTCTTCTCTCCCAAGAACAAAAAAAAACCTATTCGCTTTTTTTTCTTGTGTCTCAATCTACTTCATAAACCCTAGAACTCGATGGCAGACGCAGAGACTTTTGCTTTCCAGGCCGAGATCAACCAGTTGCTCTCCCTCATCATCAACACCTTTTACAGCAACAAGGAGATCTTCCTTCGTGAACTCATCGGATGCTTTGGACAAGATTAGGTTCGAGTCCTTGATAGACAAGAGCAAGCTCGATGGTCAGCCAGAGCTTTTCATCCATGTCATCCCCGACAAGAGTAACAACACCTTGACCATCATTGACAGTGGTATCGGTATGACCAAGGATGATTTGGTCAACAACCTTGGAACCATTGCGAGGTCTGGCACCAAAGAATTCATGGAGGCATTGGCTGCAGGTGCTGATGTTAGCATGATTGGACAGTTTGGTGTTGGTTTCTACTCTGCTTACTTGGTTGCTGATAAGGTTATTGTCACCACAAAGCACAATGATGATGAACAGTATGTGTGGGAGTCTCAGGCCGGTGGATCTTTCACCGTGACTAGAGACACTTCTGGTGAGAGTCTTGGTAGAGGGACAAAGATGACACTTTACCTCAAGGAAGACCAGTTGGAGTATCTCGAGGAGAGGAGGCTTAAGGATTTGGTCAAGAAGCACTCTGAGTTCATCAGCTATCCAATATCTCTGTGGGTTGAGAAGACTATTGAGAAGGAGGAAGGAGGTTTCTGATGATGATGATGATGATGAAGAGGAGGAAGACAAGATGGATGAGGAAGGGAAAGTTGAGGAGGTAGATGATGATGAGAAAGAGAAGAGGGAAAAGAAGAAGAAGAAGATTAAGGAGGTTTCTCATGAATGGGATTTGGTGAACAAGCAGAAACCTATTTGGATGAGAAAAACAGAGGAAATAACCAAGGAGGAATACTCTGCTTTCTACAAGAGTCTGAGCAATGATTGGGAAGATCATTTGGCTGTGAAGCACTTTTCTGTTGAAGGACAGCTTGAGTTCAAAGCAGTCCTCTTTGTTCCCAAAAGAGCTCCTTTTGATCTCTTTGACACTAAGAAGAAGCCTAACAATATCAAGCTCTACGTACGTCGTGTCTTCATCATGGACAATTGCAAAGATATTATTCCAGATTACCTTGGCTTTGTCAAAGGCATAGTTGACTCGGAAGATCTTCCTCTCAACATCTCGAGGGAAACATTGCAGCAGAACAAGATCCTCAAGGTCATACGCAAGAACCTTGTCAAGAAGTGCCTCGAGCTCTTCTTTGAGATTGCTGAGAACAAGGAGGACTACAACAAGTTCTACGAGGCATTTTCTAAGAACCTGAAGCTTGGTATCCACGAGGACTCTCAAAACAGGACCAAGATCGCTGAGCTGCTCCGTTACCACTCAACCAAGAGCGGCGATGAACTGACCAGCCTCAAGGGCTACGTGACAAGGATGAAGGAAGGTCAGAACGAGATCTTCTACATCACCGGCGAGAGCAGAAAGGCTGTTGAGAACTCTATATTCCTCGAGAAGTTGAAGAAGAAAGGGTATGAAGTTCTTTACATGGTTGATGCAATCGATGAGTATGCGATTGGTCAGCTCAAGGAATTTGAAGGAAAGAAGCTCGTCTCTGCAACCAAGGAAGGTCTGAAGCTAGAAGAGTCTGAGGACGAGAAGAAGAAGAAGGAAGAGCTAAAGGAAAAGTTTGAAGGACTCTGCAAAGTGATCAAGGAGGTTTTGGGAGACAAAGTTGAGAAGGTTATCGTCTCTGACCGTGTCGTGGACTCGCCGTGCTGTCTTGTAACCGGCGAGTATGGCTGGACTGCAAACATGGAGAGGATCATGAAAGCTCAGGCTTTGAGAGATAGCAGCATGGGTGGTTACATGTCGAGCAAGAAGACGATGGAGATTAATCCAGAGAACTCGATCATGGAGGAGCTGAGAAAAAGAGCTGAAGCGGATAAGAATGACATGTCTGTCAAGGATCTTGTTCTTCTTCTCTTTGAGACTGCTCTTCTCACTTCTGGTTTCAGCCTCGATGAACCCAACACTTTTGGAAGCAGAATCTACAGGATGTTGAAGCTTGGATTGAGCATTGATGATGATGATGATGCCTGTGAAGCTGATGCAGAGATGCCTCCGCTTGAAGATGATGATGATGCTCAAGATAGTAAGATGGAGGAAGTTGATTAAAAAAACTGCAATTAATGGTGTTTCTTGGTTTTTGGGGAAGATTTATTTTGATTATTTCGGGATTTCTTATTTATGTCATTATATTTTGATCAGTGTTATCACAAGGAACTCTGTTTCACGTTCTCTGTTTCAAGAATACAAGTGTTAATCTTAGTTAAAAAAGGTCGGATCGGACAAACAGTTGAGATTTCATAAGTTTTTTTAAAACGTAAGTTGAACTCAAGGATACTTTTAAAGACTAATAATTCGTGAATGATGGACACATATGGGGTAAAAATGACATAGCCACGACTCATTTTCAAAGGAGATTGTAAAGTTTTATATCTGATCAAATGAATCGAGTAACAATGGAATTTGGAATACACATAATAGTTTCGAGAAACTCTCCGATGGAAAGAGAGAGAGAGTAATCTAACTAACAAAGCATTATCAAAAATCTTCTTTTTTTGTTTTGTTTTGTTTACTTCTCTGATGAGTTTGGTCCTCTCTTCTTGCCAAAACCAACAACTGATGAACAACACAAACAAACAAAAAACATGAGAATCCAATTGTTATTCATTCATATTGCAACAAACTTCTAATCTGAGATTGATCGGAACATGATTTGCCAAAGAATTTAACAAGTGGAATTGGTGATCACAGGAATGCTTATCATCAGAAACAGTAATCTCTATGTAAATGAAATTAGAACCATTTCTAATATACATCATATGAACCAGACTTTGTAACACAAAGTTCATGTATCAAACAGCACAATAGATGTATGTTCATGTAGCATAACTAGCAGCTTAAAATGGATCAAAACTCAAAAGCAACAGAATCCAAAAACTGAATTCGTCATGTCTAAGCACAAGTCCTACAATCTTAAGATGAGAGGAGCAAAAGCAAATGAGAATCCAAAACAACTTCTGCAATCTCATGATGAAACAGCAATAAAAATACAAAAAGTTGATTGCTAGGAATAAGTTGAACATGAATGGAAATCATAATATTCATTATAAGAAACTAAGGAATAAACCCATATACTGAAACAGAAATGACTACTCATAGATCACTACAATTGGATTGATTGAACTAAGGAGAGGCAAGAACGGTCAACAAAATCATAAATATAATATTTAAATCGCGATCTCAGCTTTACAAAAACGGTAATCTCGCTGCAGAGAACTATCAAATCATCGATCTAAGAATCCTAAACCGGAAATCTGAAAGTAAAACTTAATTACCGGCGGTGACGAATCGGCGGTTGTGTTGGATCCTCTTGTGGGCACGGCCACGAGGCTGCTTCTTCTTGTCCTGCTTAGCAACTTTAGGTGTCTGACCTCTCACCTTACCGGCACGAGCCAATGAACCGTGAACCTTTCCTGTGTGATTCAAAGACAAACATCACTAACATGAAATAATTTCGAAGCTAAATCGCAAATCGACATGGAATTAACAAGTAAAGGAGAATCACCCATTGTTGATCAGAGAGATTCTTCTGGTTTCTGCTCTGCTGTTGAAGGCGACGACGCTCTTTCTAGGGTTAGAGATTATACTTTCGTTTATATATTAGTCGCTAAAAGAGCCTATTGGGTTTCAAAATGGGCTTTAAAAAAAACAATTGTGTATCCAAACACCAAAACCAGTTTTTAGTTTCAAACCGAGCCGCACCGGCCGGTTCGAAACAATAATTCATCCCATAATTCAACCATCGAAAGCGGCTAAAACCGGTCAGAGCCGGTAAATCCCAAAGTTCATAGAATTTTAAGGATCGGCAATATATTTCCCAATTTTAATAGAAACCAAAAGTCTTCTCTATTTAGTATTTAATCGAAGCGATTCCTGTGGAAATTTAGTCATCTCATCTCGACGATTCTAGGGTTTCCTGGTCCGGTTTTTGCTGGGTGATTGCTTGACTTTCACGTTTTCTCAAGGGTCGATTTTTCATTACAAAAATCTCAAAACAAAAGGAGGAAGAAAAGAGAAAAGTCTCCTTCTACAATTTCTCCAAGCAGTGAAAAAGATGTCGAACGTTATGGTTGAGTCCTCTGAATCAAGCAGCAGTTCATGTGTGGTCGCTATCAGTTCATCGAACATAGGGTTTCAGCTTCTAAAGAAGCAAGGCTGGAAGGAAGGCACTGGTCTTGGAATCGCTGAACAGGGCATATTGGTGCCTTTACAAACAGAGCTCAAAAATAACAAACGAGGACTAGGAGCTGAAAAAACAACCACCAAGAGAAAACCGGCAAAGCCTCAGGCTAAAGATTATGGACACAGAGAAAAGGATGAACAAGTCCCTAAGAGAAGAAAGAAACTATCTAAGAAATTGCGGAAGATGATCGAGCACAAAAAACGTGTACAGGAAAAGGAATTTGAACGAGCCTTCTTCAGAGAGTTTTGGCCTGATAATGTATAAGATGATCGCAATTTTTTCTTGTTTTTGTTTCCTTGTTATTTTTTTTGACTTTGATGATCCAAAAGGTTCTTCATAAACACATGATTAGATATAAAGAACGCACCAGAAGGATCAAAGTCGTATCTGTTTGTCTCCAGAAATTAAAACATAAGAAATAAATTACCAAAATGTGTAAATGATCAAAACAAGCAAAGTCTTTCTCTTTCTGTCTTTCATCTAAAGATTGAAACAAAAAGTAGCTGCAACAATATTTCAAGGATAAGGATTTGTGTGAATACATCACCTTTTTTTTTTTTTCACTCGTCTTCCTCGATGACCTTAGTGCCCAAACCAGACAACCCTTCAGCAGGAATCTCAGCGACAGTGACGAGGGAGTAGAACTCTTCCTTGGCATCTTCATCATCGTTCCTCTTACGGGCCACGCGGACTCTGATTCTCCTAGGAGGACCTCTGATTCCTTTGCTCCATATCTGCTTGTTGAGCTTAACATCGACTCTAACGTCCTTTGTTCCCATTGCTTTCAATGCAAACTTCCTGATCTCTTTGATCGCATTGGGTGCCTTCTTCTTGAATGTGCTGTTGTTCATTTACAAACTGGTCAAATCACATTGCAGGCTAAGCATTTCCCAAAACGGAAGATCAATAATGAGAACAAGAGGTTTGCATTAGCTTCAAAAGCAATAGCTGATTTCTCCAATTATTTACAAATTAACGAAAGATGCATTGAGTAATGAGAGATCAACAACAAAGAGGAGATGCAGTTGATCATTACTCATCTAAAGACTAACCATTCGAATCAAATCTATGGATGTCAAAATTTCTACAACTAATGAAAGATACATTCAAAACTTTTGATTCGAAAGGGATCAATTTGTTCAGAAGAAATGTATTTGAATTCATAGATGAACATGAAATGTTGTATTTTTAGCATCAGACAGAACTTAGAAGACAGTAGAAATCAACAGAGAGCTAAGAGCATTGTTTAATTCGAGTAAGCTACAAGCACTTCACTAATCAAGAAATCTTAAAATTCGGATGCAATTTCATTCTAATCAGCATCGACTATGCTAGAACAAAAGGGCGTGCATTCACCAAACAAATCTCAACGAGTGATTGAAATAAAGAATGATGAGTTTTGAGGGTTTCAAGTTTACCAGCTATGAAGGCGCCTGTGGAGATTGATAGTGTACTCCCTGGTAACGACCTCCTCCTTTCTTCCTTTGCCTTTCTCCATTTTCGTCGATCTCTGTCTCTGTTTGTCTCTCTCTCTCTCTTCAAAATGGAGTTGGAGACGGCACTGGGAGAGAAAATTAAGACAGGTAAGAAAACCCTAATATAAAGCTTACGTAAGTTATAACTTGGGCCATAAATGGTCCTAATGGGCTTTAGGATATGATCCGATCAAGTGTCCACGGTATGTTCTTGTAATGTTTTCGAAACGAATTTTTTTTTCACTTTTGTAAGAACAAAACAAGTCTCATTGATTTAGGTGGAATGTAACGGAGAAGTCAACATTAAACTTCACGATTACATCACATAATCACATATCGATGATGGTGTACAGACATATTCCACAAGTCAAGATAGGATTAGACTTTTCTGTTTTCTTCTCCTTCTAATTCAGAGTACTATCAGCTATTAAACACAAAAAAATAAATTCTTGTTCTTCTTTCTTATTTTCTAAACCTGAGCAGTGTATACCAAAAATTTTAATTCCCCGTATTCGTTTGACGAGAACGATGGAGGTTTACTCAAGATTTCGATTTGATAAAAATATCCATCAGAATTTAACACAAGAAACACAAGCATAATAAGAACAACTACTAACTCCTTTTGGAAAGGATAATGAAAAGGAGGATAGTGTTACAGTTCAACTTCAACAAAACAACTTAATAAACCTGTTCAGCAAAATCTTTTACTTCAAAAAACATATTCTGAAAAAAGCTTAAGCTTGTCGGTTTCTTTGCTTGGCACCGGACTTAGCAACCCTAAGGCTTTTGCTGATGACACTGAGTCTAGCAAGAGCAGCTTTCTTCAAGTCGGGCCTGTAGTAGTTGTCCACCACCTGAACCAATTTTCACAAGAATTTAGTAAGATTAAATTCACAAATGTAAGCCACATTATGAAATGTCTACATGAGACAGCACACAATACTTTATTCAGTGAGATAAACATAAACATCATGCGGATCAATGCCAAAAGCCAACTAGTGTAACTTTTTCAACGAAGAAGCCTTACAGAGGAACATTACTTTATTAAGTGAGCTTCTAATCTTTGCACATAGACACTTTCATCTTAACATCAATCTGTCATGCCTTTTTACCATCAATTTATACATAAAACTTCTCTAACAAGTAAAATAAAGACCATTTCGTAGATCAGAGCCATGACAGTTACACAAAGAGCTAAAACTAGAAGCCTATAAAGAAAGCATAGCATAGATAAAAAAATCAAAAAGTAGTAAAAGACTTGAGTCATACCTGGTTGGCAACAGCCTTGGACATCCTTGGGAATTCCTTCTTCAGGATAGACTTGTTGACAGAGACCTTAGGCTTGTTCTGCTTCTTGGTCTTGGTGGTTGCGAGGACAACAGCTTGTTCCTTGTCAGCTGGCTGGATGGTCACGGTCTTCTTGTTTGCAAGACCTGAAGCCACATTGAAAGACCGAGACTTTAGTCTAGTTCAAGCAGTCAATTCAATCTTTTTTAGTAGAGAATCCAGACACAAATCTTTTACAACTCTGTATCCACAAAACTTAATCCTCATATAAGCAGTTACCCAAAAATTACTTTCACTTATAGAATTTACATCAATACACATTCAAATTTGAGATTGTGCTTTAAGCCTGACTCAAGCCGGCAATTTCATTCTTAAACTATGGAAGAATCCAGACATAAACCTAGCACGATTCATTTCTCAACGAATTTGAAATAGTCCAATACATTTCAACAATTAACCTGAATACAAAGTAACCACATTTCCCAAACTCAACCATCCAATTTCAACTACAACCATCTTATATTCCAGATTTTAGACACATTTTTATACACCTTAACGCAGAACAACATCACAAAACTTCAATTCAAGACATCTAATCAATCAATCAAATATTATATTTCCCAGTTAAACCCGGATCAAGGGAAAGGACAGTTTACCAGAGTGCTTGTAGGAGTTAAGGTTGCAAAGATTGTTGCTCTCCTTGCTGAATTGAACCTTAGCGTTTCCTCTTCCAAACTGTTTCACCAAGAAACAGTTGTTGGTCTTAACGATCTCCCAGATCAATTGTCCTGGAACTGTCGCCATTTCGAAACCTACGTAATACACCAAACCAATCAATATAAAAAAAGGTATAGCAAATCAACAAGAACATATCGGATCTATCAAATTGGAACCTTAATGCGAAAAAAAAAAAACTGAAAAAGGGCAAGGAGCGAAACAGAGAACGACTGAAATGATGGATGAGAAAGGATCTAACCTCACCGTGAAATTTCGCAGAGAGAGAGATAGAGAGAGACTCGGTTTTAATGGTGGCGCCGGAGCTGTGTGATATGACGATGGAGCTATTTATATATGACCTCAGAAAAACAAAACCCTAATTCAAGTAAGTACTGTGAATGAAATAATTATGGTGTAAAGACAAAATTACCCCTATATCTCGTTACAAAATACCGAGAATGCCACAATTATGAGAGGGGAAATAGAAACGTTGAAAAGAAAAAAAAAACATTTTGCTCAGTTGTTCTATGAAGTTAAAGGGCTTTAGATTCTATTGTAAAATTTCTATTACAAAATCGGAATTTTGATCTGAGAGAGACAGAGAGAAATGGGGAGGAGGATATTGAACGATGCGTTGAGGACGATAGTGAATGCAGAGAAGCGAGGGAAAGCTTCGGTGGAATTGAAGCCTGTCTCTACCGTAATGTCTTCGTTCCTGAGAATCATGAAAGAGAAAGGTGACATTTTTCGTTCTGCTCTTTATGATTCTTTCTTCTGGGCCAATTGGGTCTTGGTTCATTTCCAAAAATATTCATCTACTCGTTTAGATTCATCAGTTTCGTCCACAATTTTTCAGTCACTTGGTTGTGGTGAAGTATCTAGTTCTGTGATTTTGTATCAAGAGACTTATGGGGCTTATCTAATCTCTCTGATATAGATATTGTTAGTTCTTGAGCTGACCCTAAACCGTATAGCTCAAGTATTGCCATGTGTGATCTCTCAATGTAGAAGACTATCAACAGCGTCTAAATATTATATTTTGTTCTTGGTTGAAAGTGAAGTTGCAGACGATTGAAAGTTTCTTTTTTTTTACTCTTATGGATAATTCACATCTTGATCCATTGTTAGAGAACGGCATTTCTGCTCCAGTGCTCCTTTTCCAAGCCCATGGTGTAATTTAAGCTTTGTTTTGATCTAAGGTTGTGTAAATTATCTTATTTTGAGTATTTTAAATCAAGGTTTTTTCAGAAGTTCTTTTAGAAGTTTATAGTTTGTGGCTGAATTTTATATATGGCATTTATATGCTCAAATCTGTATCTTCATTTTTGCAGAATTGGATATTTATACTCTATTACTTTACAAAAGGTGTGCTTATGTACAGGTTACATCAAGAACTTTCAAGTCTATGATCCACACAGAGTTGGAAGAATAACTGTTGATCTACAAGGAAGGGTTAATGATTGCAAAGCTCTCACTTATAAGCAAGACGTCAAGGCAAAAGAGATTGGGCAGTACACAGAACGCACACTTCCAACACGCCAGGTTTTGTCCTGTCGAATCTCGTATATTCAGCTAATAGTAGGCAGTAACTTAACCTTGTTCAACTTGTTATATGCAGTGGGGTTATGTTGTAATTACAACTCCTGATGGCATTTTGGACCATGAAGAGGCTATCAAAAGGAATGTGGGTGGTCAGGTTCTTGGTTTCTTCTACTGAATTGGTTGGATATCGCAAGAGGTTCAAATCCTTAGAGAACATGTCATTTTTCTGGCTTTTTTCAACATTGTTTGTTTGATTCTTGCAATGTACTATGAGGAAAATGGTAATTAGAAAAACAAACTTTATTTCTATTGTCACAACGTTTCCAATGTTATTATAAAATCTTTAGCTTCACAAATAGTTGTTTAAAAAAATAGACAAAAAAAAAAACCAATCTATAACAAGCAGAAGAATCACCCCACTGCTTCAATTAGTAAATGTGTAACAATATCAACTTCAATCTGTAAATGTGTGAGAATATCAGAGGAAAGAATGAATGGGGCTGATCTCTGTGACAGAGGAAAAAATCTATGAACAGAAGGAGGATGAGCAGGGTTTAGCGGTTTTTAGGAGCACGAAGAGCCCCAAGCTTTGCAAAGATATCGTCATAATCTGGGAGGTTAGGATGAACATGACTAGCTCTTTCCCTTGACGGGGTTTCTGGATCAGGGGATTTTACAGTTTGTGGAACAGGGCTTGAAGTTACTGTCTTGTGCTTTGGAGTGGTCTGATCATGAGACTCTTTATCGGTTTTCGTTGTTGTCACTGGGAATGAGCGCTTCTCATGAGCTTTCCCTTGGCCCTTAGTCCTTAGAGAGATCCCGGCTGTTTTAGTCGGCTTGGCATTGACTTGTGCAGCGTATCTTCCGACTTCTTCCTCATCTTCATGCGAGGTTGGAGCTGGGGTCTTCAAGTTTGCTCTATTGTAATCTCTCATCCCCGTGGTAGGCTTATCTGTTCTCACTTGACTTCTGAAAGAAGCTCGTTTTGGAAGTTCTTCCTCTGAGTCATCATGGCTGACTTGGGAATGGCGATATGAGGCTTGGGGTCTTGTTTCTGTTCTTCCTCGAAGTTGGACCTCTGAGTCGTCGTCATCACTAGAAGATGGATGTGGCGGCGTAGTGCTTGATGTCCTCTCGTTGTTGCTTGCTTTCTTAGTGTAGATATCTTTTCTGTTATTGCTAAAAGTAGACATAACATCGTCTGTTTCATTATGTTCCTTTTCAGACTTGGACGATGCCTCGTTTCTTGCCAGACCCATTCTGTATGGTGGGAGTGTCTTTCTGTTCCTAAATCCACCCATCAGAGGTCTAAAATTCAGACCAGTCTGATCATCTGCCTCAGAATCTGATTCTTCCCGTGACCTTGAATCATCTTCGTGTTCATTTGTGTCTAAAGGGAAGAATCCACGTCCCACAGGATTAGAGACTTGAAACTTCTGAGATCGATCAGATGTCAGATTCACCCTTTCGTCTAAACCTCCAGAAACTTTACCTCTGTGTCTAGGCTGATCGTCATCGCTTTCTGAATCTGGACCATAACTGTCAAACTTGGCATGTGGGTCGGGCTCATGGTATGAAGCCGGAGGACTTGTAGAGACATCATCAAATAGTGGAGAACATGGGCTCACTTGTGAGCTTGAGCTGTGATTTCCATGAGACTTACTATGGTCTCCTTTGGCGCTCCAGGAAGCAGATGGTGTAGGTGTTTTGCTGCCAAGCAATGAAAATCCCACGCCATGATCATATTCATCTTCTGCGTCGAACGTAGGTTTGTCGGAAAAGGAGTTATAATCATCAAAAGTATCAGCAGAAGCATCATGATGTCCATGATCATGGGAATCTATATTTTGAAAGCTCTTCTGAGATTGGTGATCATATTCAGTGGCAAAAATGTTTTCGTCCACATGGCTCGGAGACTTCGTATAATCTGAGCCAAGAACATTCTCATCAGAATAATTGCTTGAATGTGAATGCGATGAAGCCCTGCTTGACTGCTTCCTCAAGTGAGCATCTTCCGAGTAACCAACATTGAAATCTGTCTCGTGCTCGCTTGGCTGCTTCTCTCTACCTGTTTGACCAAAGGAACCGCTCTTTCTCAAGTTCTCCAGGGAATGTCTTTCTGATTGCTGATGTAAAGGAGGAATCTCAGATTCCTTTGCCCTACCATATCTATCTTGTCGGGTTCTATCCATATCTTCATATTGCTTCCTAACATTTCCTCTAGGAGAAAAATGCTCTTCAGAAAAGCTTTCGCTTTGTACATTCGATCTGTTACGTCTATGTGAAGGCTCGTTTCTGAAATTAACCGATGCAGAGGATACATGCGACTCTGATGAATTCTGCCTCGTCATCCTTTCTTTGCTGGAAAGCTCAGCAGCTGCTCTAGCAGCAAAACTTGCTCTTTCAGCAGCTTCAGCAGCCGCACGTGCAGCCTCTGTAGAATCATAAAATTCTGTTTCCCACCTATGCTTACTTCTTGAAGATGAATTTTCATCGCCATGATTTGGATTTCTACGTTCCCCTTCATCAGTCGTAGACCCTGTCGAACAAAAATAATTCGTTGAATGATTCAATCAAGAAAAGAGGAAAAGATAAATAAGCAAGAAGGAAATCGCTTACGAGAAGGTCTTGCATTTGGATGATGATAGTCATCATCGTTCCCACAAGTAACATTGTTGCTACGGCTTGAAGATCTTCCATCACTTGCATAATAAGAGTTCTCTGATGAATGATGTATTTCACTTGATCCACGTTGAACATTGACAGTAGCTGGAGCTTGGACGTTTGGAGGTTGTTCCTTGTTTGGGATTCTAGAGGAATCCACGTTTACACTACTCGCTGACTGAAACGAGCTTGTTCCACTCTAAAACACAAGTAAAGTAAAAGTTATGGATAGTGTTAGCAGATAGATAAAAGAACTGATGCCTTTACACTGAAACCTAATCTACTTACCAACAACTGGTCTCTTGGATCCGGTTCAACAAAAGATTTCGCCTCCCATACGACATTATGCTCCGCAGCTATTTCCACCAAAATCTTGACCTTTGTTGGACCATCCGGGGCTTTGGCCGACAATTTCTCAACCAACTAGAAAGATAACAATCATTAAATCAAGAACGGTTCTCAATACAAAATCACCATCGACGATTATTTGTCAGGAAAACAAAAGGAACAGATGCAACCAACTTACCAGGCGACTCACACCAGAATCTGGACGCAACTCAATAGCAGAAGTAGCAAAATCCTTCCCATACTTGGTTGTGAATTGCTTAACGATTTCCGAGAGCTCCGGGACATCTGATGACAACCTCTGGGAAGCAAATAAGACACTCGCGACGGCTTCTTTCAGATCAATGGGGCAGTTTCTGGAAGTATTATCAGAAAGATCATCATCAGGCAATAAACAAGAAAAACAAAAGAGTGTATAATATAATGTTCACCAAAGAGAAAAATTGTCTTACTTCTGTGATTCGATAACACCCAAACGAACAACAAGAAGTTCGCAATAGATTCCAATGAGCTCATAAGCAGCCACTGTCTTCTCTTCCCTTACAACATGTTCCACCTGAGAGGGAAACATAACCACATTCCCAATTACATCAACGTGAAACCTAAATTTATCATTGTTTTGTTGACATGTGTGGTTTTGGACAGAAACAAAGAACTCTATCTTACCCGAATTCTAGCTGTAGGTGTATTTCCAGCTTCGAGTAATTGAGCTAACTCTCTTCTCAGCTGTTTAATCTGGATCTCTTTTTTGTTCTTGAGTATCTTGAGGCGTGAATTCGCCATTTGCAAAGCTGTTTTGCTGCAAATAAATTAAATCAATTAAATAAACCAAAATCGCAAACAATCGGATGAAACAGTAAAATCCAAATAATCAGTTCATCAGATTTGATACTAAACAAACAAAAGCTAGAGAATCTGTATATTGAACATACTCTCAAGCTCAGAAAAAATAAAATAAAAATACACCGAATCGATTACCATTTAGCTGGCTTAAAGCCTCGATGAAGCACCTTCTTCATGGAATCAAATCTAGCAAACAGAAACGAAAATCGGAAACCTAGAGACAGTCCAAGATAATTTTAATCGAATCTGCCAAAAAAAAATCAGAGCGAACTTAAGGCGTTTATTGCTTGATATATAGATGAGGCGAAAATCTGTGATCTGAGGAATTGGAATTTTCGCAGAAGAAACGAATATTGATGTTAGAGAAGGAGGAGGAAGAATCGAAGAAGAATAAATTAGATGAATATTATAGGTTGGACTATGCGCGAAACCATTAATTATATATGTTTTCACAGTGACGTGTAAAGAAAAAACCGAGTAATAAACTATCAAATCCGCAAGGAATAGGAAAGTTCTAATTCGTGGACTAACTTTTCAATCGAATTAATTAATATTTTTCTTTTTTGTATGATTTTATTGGATACGGATTTCCTTTACTTTATGTTGTCTAGATAAATTCCAAGTGTTTTCTTAATTCTAATCTGTTTTGTTTTCGTTATTTCTTTTCCTTTGATTTTTTTTAATAAATAATTACAATTAAACCTCTATAAATTAATAATATCAAGATTACAATATTTTATTAATTTATCGAGTTATTAATTTATCGATATACAATTACCATGAAAAACTAATTTGAGATTTAAAAATGTAATTTATCGAGTATTAATTTATATCGAGTATTAATTTATAAATGTTATATTGTATCTTTCTTATTTTGAATTAAAACTATATTTAAGAAATATCTGAATACTTTGAAGTTTGCATAATGTTCCAAACTTTTTTGACATCGTCGGGATCTGATATAATATCAACATGCAGTTGTCAAAATGTACATAGAGATTGTTATTGATACGAGGCTACAAATTCAACAACTCAAAGTAGTTTATTTTCCACGGAGATTGTTTTTCTTTCTCTCCCACAAAAAATTCTGTAAATAATATTCTACAAAAAGAAAAATAATGGTTAGTCATGAAAAAATTGACAGTCTCTGGCTTGCCTTTGCTATTCCAATGTTTCTCACGGGATAGGTTCAATGCACCATTCACTCCTCTAGCAACTCACAATAGGATGTCCAATGTTTAAAACTGGGTTTTTCACTTGAGAGTTTCTCTTATCAAACTTATTATTCTTTTCTTAGGAACTTTATCTCTATATGGCTCTCATTTTCATGATATATGACTTTGTAGGCAAAAGACTATATGAAGTTGCACATATCATCAAATTGCTAAGGAAGCCCAATTGGATCATTGATCATTCAGTAAAAAGAAGATGAGCCATCCATAATAATTTTAATTAGTCAGTAGTCAATTAATGACCTATTGAAGAAAATTGATCAAAATTGATCAAAATCCTTACAATTTTAGGTATTTCATGAAAGCATACACAAGAGATATCTCAAGTAGATAGGAAAATTTTCAGATGCAACCTTATTAGCAACAATAAGTTTCACAAAACACATCTCTCTTTTATCATACAAGCTCACTATTATCTATACAACGTTTTAAGTTCATACAATAAATCAGAATACACAATTTCAACTATTTAAGAAAGAAAAATTGAAATTTACAAAAACATGAATTTCATGATCACAAACTTGTAAAAGTCAATGAAAGCACATATCAGTGAAACGATAATCTTCTGCATTGTGCAATATTTGGGGAAATTATCTCAACATATTATTTGATGCGTAATTGCAAGTGTGCATTATTGCTAAAATCAAAGCCAAATGTTGTTGACATTTTTTGTAATAGCAAATGGTAAGTTTCATTATTTTTCTAGGATTTTTAGGGTCAAATTGAAACATAAACACTCGTATCTATCTGGATAACGATGCTTCTAAGTTACTCATTGTATCTCTTTGGTTTATTCAATGCTGAATTTACATTTGTGATCTGAGAGAGAGTCGATGATCTGAGAGAGAGTCGATGATCTGAGTTAACTCAGACTTGGTCAAATGATTCTCCATTAAAAGAGGTATTGTAGAGAATGAAAGAGTGAATTTTAAGGGTGGCGGAGCTTTGTGATACGCAGATTAAGCTATTTATTAAAACAAAGCCCTAGTTATTTTTAGAGTACTAAAAGTCTAAATTACTTCTAATTATTTTTAGAGCACTAAAAATTTAAATTACCCCTAGTTATTTTTAGGCTCTAACATCAGCGAGTGAGCGGGTTAGCGAATCGGAGAGTAGCGGAACCAGAGAGTCTGTGAGCTGTGGTACGAGAGAATCGATTAAATTTTTGTAAAACCGTCAAACCACACCAAATTGAGTTTTTATAAAACCGATAAACCATAAAAAAAAACAATAGTCTTTTGCATTGTGCAATTTTAGAGGAAATTGCCTCAATATATTTTTTGGTGTGTAAATGCAAGTGTGTATGATTGCTAAAATTAAAGCCAATGTTGTTGACAATGCTTGTGATAGCAAATGGTTCTTGATTAATATTTGCTGTTAATTTTTTAACTGGTTCTTGATTACAGGATGTATGTAGACCGACATGATGTGTGAGTGTATTACACTGGTTAGTTTTCAGTCTTTGTAGTTATTGAATATTAAATCCGATTACATGCTGGTTTTGCTATTTGGTATGTTTTTGGATTTCATTTACTTTATTGTTACCTACCTAAATGTCCAGTGTTTTCGTACTCTTATCTGTTTTGGATTTGTCTTTTTTTTTTTTTTTTTTTTTCCCACTCGGAGTATGAGCCTTATAAATACTTTGTTATTTGGTTTATTGAAAAAAGTGTTTTCATGTCCATGTAAGCACATAAAGCCATCACTTGATTAGAGTCTCTATGAGTTACATGTTAAATCATTCAACCAATGGTGTATGAATTAAGCTAATCTATCTGCGACTTACAGTGGCAATAGTTGTTCAAGTAATCATCATCACCAAAGAATCTTGTAAACTACCAATGCACACTTAGCTCCAATACCAATGTGAGGTCTCCAAGGCTGCTACATTATATTATGCGCAGCAAAACTCAGAGCTCAGTTCTCATATCATTGCCTAATTGACTGAACAAGATGCCGATATCCATTCCTTGATTCACCGTTGGTATGACTACCGAATACGGGCATTGCGTGGAAAATCCAACCTTCTTGTTTTTGGATTGTTTTATCGATTTGCTTAGCCTGTTTACGCATCTTTGGAACTTTTTATGGCAGCTTATGCTAGTCATACCTGCAAAATGGGAAACAAATAAGCATAGCTCTCAACGTGTCAACTTTAGACCAGAGGTTAAAGAACAATGAAACACAGTAATAATATGTCAGTAAACTGCATATTATTAGAGGTTAATATATCAGGATAATCAAGAACCCTGCATTGTTAAGCATCTTGTACAGATAAATCGAACAGACCAGATTGGTTGCATTCTCAAGTTTACATTCATACTGAGTCTGTTGTTACAGATGTTAATTTCAGTTTATCTCGCTCTGTCTATGGCCTAATGTGCATAACATTCTTCTCCCAAGTCAAAAAAGCTACACTCAATTCGGGCCAAAGTGAAGAAATTTTCCAAATGATAATACCAAAACTACACCAAAGACCAATAGTTAACCTTTACGTCGTGCAAATTTATCTAAAATCCGCAGAGAATACAAATAAAACAGTAACGGATTAGCATTCTTGAACGATTGATTACCATTTGATTCAACGCAACTGTCATGGACCATACAACAAGCATCAAGATCATCACAAGGCTCCTCACCAGGACATCCACTGTGTCCAATCCCACAATACTTCCCATATCGAATAGAAAGAGCTGATAACAAAACAAAATAACGGAATTTATATATATAAGTGAGTAGCTGAAACGCAAGAAAATAAAAAAAGTTACTCTGACACTGCAGAAAAACTGAATCTTACTGTCGCAATTCTGTGCAATGCAGGTTCTGGTGCATTCCTGTCACAATTTGATTCAACAACAAGACAAACAAAAATCATTCATTGTTTGAAATTACGACACGGAATACTAAAACACGACAAAGAACATTAATTTAATTGTGTTTCGTTTTCTGGGCACAGATTCTGGGAAATCAGTAGAGGCAATAAGAAGTGAAGCCAAATAGCAAGTCTCATTGTGGGAATCTGAGCTCTTTGGGCAAGGTTCCAACTAGACAATTACATAAGCTAATTCTAAAACAATGCGAATCCTTTTGTCTGATTTTGGAAACTCAGAATCACAGAGAATTTCTCGGAAAGAAATAAAAAAACACAGAATGATAGATACTAGATAGATATGGTCAGGGAAAAAGGTTAAACCTCGCTGCGAACAAAATCGACGAGGACGAGGACAATGAAAAAAGCCGCCACGACAAGCATCAAAGAAGTGCGAAACATCATCGTCGTCGTCGTCTCTCTCTTGATCTCTTTAGCTAATTGACTAGTACCCAAGTTTCTGGATTTGGGTTGAATGTCGTGTGCTTGTCTTCTTCGCTAAGGTTTCGAAATTTATTGTCAAAATTTTATCCTTTAGATCCCATTGGTCTTTGAACTTTCTCGCCGCTCCTTCTTATGCATACTGAATTTTTTTTTTCTCTTTTGTCCCTCAGATTTGAATTAAATTAATATATTAAGTCAAACCAATTAAATGCATTTATATATTACGAATTTCTTAGCTGCATTTTTTTTCCACTCGAACTCTCCTTTATATATCAGTTTCGCAAAAAGAACAGATACAGATTCATATGTTGTCAGTTTGTCACCAAAGTAAAAACCATTTTCTTATGTTTAAATATCAGATTTCTTTCACCAATTTTCCAAGAAGAATCTTGGATCAAAATGCATTTTCTCAATTCTTATTAAATGCTTTACCAAAATGGGTTTTTTCCTTAGTTCCAAAACTCTGTTTCAGGGAAAAAAAACAGCTTTAAAAAAAATGTATTCGAGGAAGTAGCTGACAATCATATGGGAGGAAGTTACAAGCATCAGAAGAATATTCTGACAAAGACATTGTTATGTCAATATCAAGGGTAGTAACCGGTGAAAGTGAATCCTCTGCCAACGATTTCACCTGCGCAATACCAAGCAAAGCATTCTAGGCCAAACAATGCAGCGATTCCTGCATGTTCCACCTTCAGATCCGCTCTGTTCTTCAACAACGTCTTTGCGTAGTCTACTTCTTTCCAGAATGTCTCGTAGCGCCCGGGAATGCTGTAAAAAGAGTAAGAAGAATATTAGCTATTGAATGCAAGATTGCAAAATCACATAGAGCCAAACTCTTCAAATGACAGCAAAAATGCAGTGTGGTACTTAAATTGTGTATTCGATAGTGGAAAAACATAAATTCACAGTATCATCTGAGATTTACCAGCTCAATTCGCAGACATCATAAACGGAATGCTACAAGTTTTTACACCAACTTTGATTGGAGAACAAAAACTATTAGAGGATACAGCAAAGTGCTATAAGCATATGCCAATTTCAGTTCTGTTAAAGTCTATCAAGCAATAAGATTTACTTTTCTAGTTTTCTTTCAATCCAAAATCCAACTTGAACATTTCCTCAGCATTAGCTGAACATTAACACTTCGAAAAGTAAAATGAAATTTTGAGAAACATCTACAGGTAACCCTGAAAAACGTCTAGAGAGAAAGAGAGAGGGAGAGAAGTATCGACCTAGCAAGACGAGTGTAGAGCAGTTGCTTAGACAACTCACTGCACTTCTCTATAGTTGCAGGCTCCTGAATAAATTGCTTGTTCTGCTCCAACAACTGTCTGTAGTAGGAAGTCCCATGCTTGGCCACAAACTTTGAAGCCTGACATGCCTTTGACTGAAGTTGTACCAATTTTGATGCCATGCTTCCGAGTTCAATTCCTTCAAAATCATAAACAAATGTAACAACAACCCAATTCAGCTTTCACCAATTCAAATTCAAAAATTAAAGCCTAGCAAGAGAGAGAGACGAGCTCATCAATAAGTAGAATTCCACAAGCATATGCAAGTTCTTAACATCCACATTTGTCGATATTCCAAAAGACTTGAGCTTATCGACATAACACACAGTTCATGATTCATTACACGCCTCCACGATGAAATTCAATATCCAAAACAGGAATTGGAAAAAAAAAATCTCATCATAATCAAGGCATTCGAAAAGACTAAGGCTTTTCATCGAATTCACGCATATCAGGCTAAAACACTAAAACCCTAGTCCCCAAAAATCAAGAATCACTGATCAAACAAGTCCCACTAGTGAGCACATCAAAACCCATGACTCCGACATAGAATGATCGCAGCAAAGAGATTACAGATAGATCTGAGACCCAACTCACAGAGTTTAAAACCCCTAGAAAGCAAAAACCAAAAGAGAAGAGGAAGATTTGTACGGAAAATGAAAATCCGAAACCAAATCAAACGAGAACGAGTCGGTGATCGTGAGCAAGTCGTACCTCCCGGCGTGAGAATCAGATGATCATCCTAATTCTCATCTACACTGCTTATAATTATGAGAGCAATCCAACCGGACCTTATAAACCAGACCGGTTTTGTCATTCAATCAAAATTAGACCAGTGGCTACAAAAAAGGACCGTAAACACATAAGTTTCTCTTTCTTAAACCCTAATTCCTTGATATTCAAATCTGTCTCCAAAACCTTCTCTCCCTCTCTGTTGCAATGGCTAGTACGACGACGAACAACCACAACGAGCAGGAAGTAAACGGTTCTGATCAAAACCAGAACACGAAGTTACGTTTCGAAGATGCTGATGAATTAATGTGCGACGCCGGTGACAATGCCGATGTCGCTGATGACATAACCAGCGCCGATTACTACTTCGACTCTTACTCACATTTTGGTAAAAATTCCTTGAAATTTTCATCTGCTTCCTTCATGTTTTCATCTCCAAAAAGTACTAATTTTGCTTCCAATTGATTGATTTCGCAGGTATTCATGAAGTAAGTATCCTGCATTTTGAGAAGAATCTTTTGTTCTGTATACTTTTTTTTTCTTCTGATTGTGATGTCTGACCTGATGATGATTGTTGTTGTCTTGTAATAGGAAATGTTAAAGGATGTAGTGAGGACAAAGTGTTATCGAGATGTTATATACAAGAACAAGTTCCATATCAAGGACAAAATCGTTCTTGATGTAGGAGCTGGAACAGGAATCTTGTCTCTGTTCTGTGCCAAAGCAGGAGCAGCTCATGTATACGCAGTATGTCTTATCTTTCTCCATTTGTCACAACTGATTGTCTGTGAATGATTTAGATACATGTGATTGATAAATGTTTCTTTAAATAGGTCGAATGTTCTCAAATGGCTGACACGGCAAAGGAGATTGTCAAGTCGAATGGTTTTTCTGATTGTATGTGTCTTTTTACTGTTCTTCAAAATGGATAATAGTCTGATGGCAGTTAGCTGTAACAACTGTTTGATTATTTTTTGGCAGTTATAAAGGTTTTGAAAGGGAAGATTGAGGAAATCGAGTTTCCAATTCCTAAAGTGGATGTGATTATCTCCGAGTGGATGGGTTACTTTTTGGTTTATGAGAATATGCTGGACACTGTCTTGTATGCTCGCAATAAATGGCTTGTAAGTGAAAAAGTTTTCGTCTTGTTCCTGTTATGTCGATGATGGGTTCGTTATAGCTTTAAAAACTTCTTCTTTATGCTCTTTGTCGCTAGGTCGATGGTGGAATTGTTCTACCAGATAAAGCATCTCTCTATCTTACAGCTATAGAGGATGCTCACTACAACGAAGACAAAGTAGAATGTGAGTTTGAAAAAGACTTTTCTCGCTTTTTTTAGTGACATTCGTCTGCAAGTTTCCTTATCTAAACTTTATTTTGGTAAAAAGTCCTTGAAATTTCATCTGCTTCCTTCATGTTTTCGTCTCCGAAAAGTACTAATTTTGCTTCCAATTGATTGATTTTGCAGGTATTCATGAAGTGTAAACCATTAGCAACGGTGAAACATCTTAGATTGGTCATTTTTGGTGGAAACCATTAGCAACGGTGAAATTCTGTTGGGTTTACAAACCATTTCATGATAATTGTATACATTAATAAAATCTGGTGTGAGATTTTTATATTCACCCACCTTGCATTTTTCAGGTTGAATCTGTTGTAAATCTGTTGTAGTAATAACGATGGAAACGAGGTCGTTAAGTAATAATTTATTGTAAACTCTCAAGTATCTATTGTTTACTCTCAAGTATCTATTGTTATTTCATGTTCATTCAGCCCATTTGGTCCGTTAACGAATATATTGAAATTGTCATTTATTATATGAAATAGCTGTCGAATTATCAATCATTGTTACTTCCTGAAGTTGTAGTAGAAATGTTGCATAAAATATCTGTTGTTTTGAGGTTATAATTTCATTTGTATATTCCAGATGGAAGTAGGAGAACTCCCTCAAAGAATGTTTAGAAAAGGAGAAGAACCAAGAGGCGAAAAGGTGAACGCTTATCACAGAGGTCTTAGATAACGATGAGTTGGAGATGTGGTCATTATCCAAAGAAAAAGAGGGTTAGAAAGAATGACACAATAGGTGAAATCGTACCTTACTATTGTACTTTGTTTGGGATGGAAAAATTTGTTGATGTGAAGACACCATTTGTTGATGTGTAGTACAATAGTAAGGTATGGTTTTTCCATCGCAAACAAATTTGCTGAATGAACATGAAATAACAATAGATACTTGAGAGTTTACAATAAATTATTACTTAACGACCTCGTTTCCATCCTTATCACTACAACAGATTCAACCTGAAAAATGCAAGGTGGGTGAATATAAAAATCTCACACCAGATTTTATTAATGTATACAATTATCATGAAATGGTTTGTAAACCCAACAGAATTTCACCGTTGCTAATGGTTTCCACCAAAAATGACCAATCTAAGATGTTTACATATACATAAGATGTTTCCAATTGATTGATGTTTACAATGGATATCTCTAAGATGGCTTCTGGAGATGCTTCCTTTACAGCTCCATTCAAGCTTGTCGCAAAAAGGAATGACCATATCCACGCCCTTGTAGCCTACTTTGATGTATCATTCACCATGTGCCACAAGATGATTGGCTTCTCAACAGGTTTACACTTTTCCTGCAAAGTTTTCTTGATTAAATACGATATTTTGAAACAACAGGCAGAAAGTATGTTGACGCTAGCTTCTATGTTGATATTTGGAACTCACATAACAATCTCAAACTGCAATGCAGGACCAAAATCGCAAGCAACACACTGGAAACAAACGGTGCTGTACCTGGATGATGTTCTGACTATATGCGAGGGTGAAACAATCACTGGAAGCATGACCATTGCACCTAACAAGAAGAATCCACGAGATGTCGACATTAAGCTCAGTTATTCTTTAAATGGCCAGCATTGCAAGATCTCAAGGACCCAACTGTACAATATGCGGTAAAAGACTATCTCAAAGGAAGCAGAGCCAATCTCACAAGTCTCATTCATCATCTTGAGGCTGAGAAAGACAATAGTCATTTGTAATTTTATTGTTTTCATTTCTTTGCAACGTTTCACAACAGAAAAACAGAAAATTTGCCCCTTGATTCTATAAAGAGTATCTCTTTCTTTCTCTTTTCCTGGAAACAGAACAAACGTGGAAATGGACATAGTGGAGAAGAAACATAAAACTATAGAACAAACTATTAAAGCTGGTTTTTTGTATGGTGTGTATGTTACGTACTTTCCAAGCATAAAAACTGAATTGGGAATGGCATTAAAATTTTAAAGGTAGCAATGCTTGCTTAAGAATTCAAAACCAGAAATAGATTTCATTAATATTCAATAGGGTCGATGGTTTTATAACTGCTGTTATACAGAAAGAAAATGACGAACGCTGCGTTGATAAGTGCTGCACGGTCAATGAAAGCTGAGGAGAATAGAGGAAAGAAGAGGAAGGGAAAAAGGAGACACTATCGAAAAGGGAAGTGTTAAGTATAATCTCTTAAGTATGATCTTGCTGTTATCGGTTCAGCAGCTGATCCAAGGGTTAGTTCTGGTGAATTAAGTGATGATACAGTGGGCGACAGTGATGTTGAAGATTGTACAGGTTGATTTACAATGGTGTCTTCCTTTTTGTTTCTGATACTTTCAAGGCTTGAAACAGAAGTTGGAGTAGCATGGGCTTAAAACTAACATGTATTTGTATTTCTAGAAACAAACAAGAAGATTGGCCCAAGATTGGTCTTTTGTATTTCTAGAAACAAACAAGAAGATTGACCCAAGAATGGTCTTCAAATGAGTGTTTGATCTGGGTCCCAAATAGGGAATCAAGAGATCCCTTCGTATCCATTAAATTACATACAAGTTTACGGATACAGTAGGTAAAGACTTAAAGTTTGGTTCCAGAGACTTGAATGCTCCTTGTGGATGCACTTATTGGCAGCCAACTACCTCCAAGCTACTTGGCCAAGGACATTTACAGTTTTAACGTTTAACTATTGTATCCATAAACATCTATTCCATTTAATGCAAGAACAAACCAAAATACAACACGGAGCCGTGGAGCCAACACATGTGCTCCAATATAATTATAATAATGCTAAGTCTTCGAGATAAAATCCTGAAAAGATCACCACTTTTGAAAAATCAAGAACAGTTTCAAACCACCTCCCAGAAGAGCAATGGATTTGGGGAGTAAGCAAATCAAGATACCACTTCACGAGCATCCTTTGTTACCCGTTACTCGCTTTGCTTTTGGTCGGTGTCAAGGGTGTCTCCCATCTACTAATGATTACATTTACGGAGGCTACCGTTGCAATGAGTTAGGTTGTGAGGCTATGTTTCATAAAGAGTGTGCTGAGTCCTTACCAGAGATCAACCACTATTCTCACCCTGACCATCCTCTCAAGCTGATCCTCCAAGATTCCAAACCATTTAGTACTTGTAGCTTCTGTAGAGACAAGTTCAAAGTCGGTTATTGCTGTTCAGTTTGTGATTTCCATCTGGATTTACGCTGTGCATGGAGACCATCCATTCTTGAAAAGTCCAACGCACACGAGCATCCGCTCGAGTTCTTACGTCAACCGCAATTTATCGGTGTTTCCGGTATTCGATCAGATTTCTGTAAAGTATGCGACTCTATGATTTTTGGCCATCGTTATAAATGTCATCAGTGCGACTTTGCCTTCCATTTAGAATGTGCTGATGCTGCTCCAGAAGCTGAAGCATACCACACGTCCCACCCTCAACACCCACTCAAGTTTCTTACATGTAAAGCAGCACCAGATTACGCCTACAAGAACTGCCTTCTTTGTGGGACACAGTTTGATGATGACCAACGGCTTCCACGACTTCGACTTCACCACTGTGATGTTTGTAACTTCAGCCTATGCGAAATTTGTATGCAAAACCCACCACCGGTTAGTGTTGTAAGCTTGACGACCCACGAACATAATATTCATCTTGTTCCAAGACGCATAGAGTTCACTTGCAATGCTTGTGGGACGTTAGGCAACCAAAGCCCTTACTTCTGTCTTCAATGCAATTTCATGATTCATCGTGAGTGTATCGATTTACCACGTGTCATAAACATCAACCGTCATGATCACCGTGTCTCTTACACCCCTCGTCTTGGACATGAAGAGTGGAAATGCGGAGTTTGTCGTCAAAAAGTGGATGGGTTCTATGGGGCTTATTCTTGCTCCAAGTGTCCTAGTTTTGCTGTTCATTCAAGATGTGCAACGAGTAAAGATGTATGGGACATGGTCGAACTGGAAGGAACACCCGAAGAACCTGAAGAACCTGCGCCCTTCGAGATCATTGATGATAACACCATAAAACATTTCAGCCATGATCATAATTTACAGATCATCAACAAGGATGAGTTGATTCTACATGAAAACATAGTTTGTGCAGCATGTATCTTCCAGGTTTGCTCAGAACCGTCGTTCTACAGTTGCAACAAATGCGATTTTGTGCTCCACGAAAAATGTGCAAACCTTCCTCGGAAGAAACGACATGTGTGTCACAACCAACGTTTCACACTAGGCACAGTTTCTCACCTCACATTGGTTCGGTGTGGTCTTTGTCTCCAACGGTTCACAGGTTTCGTGTATAGATCTAATACTACTCGTATGGTTCTAGATGTAAGATGCGGTTCGTTTTCAGAACCATTTGTGCACAAGAGCCATCCACATCATGCTTTATACTACACCAAAGATCCCTCCAAGTATTGTAGTGAATGTGGGAAGAGAGCAAGGCTTAGTTGTGGTGAGTGTAACTTTAGCTTGGACTTTGAATGCGCTTTCTTGCCGGAAAAGGTAATGAATCATAGGTACGACGACCATCCTCTCTTCTTGTCTTGTGGTGAAAGCAATGTGGATGGCAAATATTGGTGTGAAGCATGTGAAACAGAGGTGAATCCGAATAAATGGTTTTACACTTGCAATGATTGTGGTGTAGTGTTGCATATTTCATGCGTTGTGGGAGACAGAGAATTCTCATATATGATGCCAGGTTCGTCATGGCCAATAGCAAGATTCGTTCATGCACAAGTGGTATCTAACACTTCTATTTGCAGACCGTTTTGCCGTGTGTGTAAGACTCGATGCAAGCTCCCATCCATTATCAAGATTAACAAGATTAATTACACGCATGGAGTAGACGTATACATCTGTTCTTTCAGATGCCTCGTAGGAGTATCAGACTATTGGATGCTTTAGTTAAATGTCCTATATACGAGTATACTGGTATACAATATAAGTAGGTATTTTCCTTTTTGTTGTGTATTAGGTTTTAACTCATGAATTTATACATACTGCATCTTGGCTCTGGAATCAACATTTTTCGGAACCAGTTCTTATATGTACAGAAAAAGAAAATTCTATCAATACTAACTCGTGAAATGGGATGAGCACATTAGGTTATTTTCTGTCTAGTCAATACAGTAAATGGAAACCTTGTTGCCAAAAAACAGAGACGTGGAAGTGAGAACAGAGCAGAGAAAAACAGAACATAGCAGAGTGAATCAGAACAGAACATATTTCAGAGAAATGACTCTTGGATTAGTATTGTTATCAATACGGATTTTCTTGCCAGTTCTTTTTCACTATGTACTTAGCCTTAATCTTCGTAATGGCATCGACTAAACACAAAACCAAAACTATATGCGATGGTCAATTTATCACCAGGAGCATGACCATAGTACGAAACAAAAAAATATCCCAGAGATGTCGCTATACTTTGAATGGACAGCACTGCAAGATCTCTAGCACCCAACTCTATAAAATGTGCTAAAAGCTCTCAAATAATGTTGAAGCTCCCCCACAAGTTTCTTTCATCTTCTTGAGTCTGAGATTAGACAATTCTGATTTTGTAATTCTATTGTTCCATTTTGCAAATGTTTCAGTCAAAATGAATCAGAAATTTCTTCCCTTAATTCTATAAAAACCATCTCTATCTCTTTTGAAACTTAAACGTGGAAATGGACATACTGGAGAAGACACAATCAATTATAACAAACTAACAAGCTAGGGATGAAACAGAATGAGTGAAGTGATGACTAATACCAATCCAAAATCTTTGTAGATAAAAGGAATTGAGATTGGACACAACAACTATACATATGAAGCGAGTAGGAGAATACTGAAAAGCATTCTCTTATCTATTGTTTTGCTTCCCAAATCTTTTTGGCAGAGCTATTAACTAATCTTGAAAGACAAGGAAGGATATCATTTGGGGACGCACGTATGAAGCGTTGTGTTAACATAGCCGATGCTCAAATAGACTTGTCAGGAAATTTTCAATGAATGCAAAGGACATTGTTGTAGATACTAAGGACATGGGAGTAGCATGGGCTTTACAAAGAACATGTACTTGTATTTCTGTAAACCAAAAAAAACAAAAACAATATTGACGACAGTGATGTTGAAATTCGACGGATTAGCCTTCTTAATTTTTTTTATTTTTCTTCTGTTCTCTTTCCACAAACAGCTCCAACTTCAGCAGCAAACTCCAGACATGACTCACTGATGAGTTTATCAACAAATTTAAGAGCACTGGTCTGAGATACCTCACAAGGCTCTTGAGAGTCAATATAACTCAAACCAGGAGAATGACAGTTTCCTTCAGGCGAATCATCCTCAACGAAAAGCTTCCTCGCTGTTCTATTTCCTTATCTTTTTCTTTTCAACAGACATACTGGGAGGACATTTCTGAATCTCTACTTCTCCAACATTATATTTTCAGACGAGAACTGTGTGTGGCTGCTTGACCAGAAGAATGACAGTTGACTAAAGTAGAACAGTCCCTGTTGAGAAGCTTTTGAGTTGCAGCTTGACAAAGAATATTTCTCATGCTTGGAGGCTAATAATCTCTGACCAACTAATGTAGAGTCTAGACATTGTTGACCCAAGACCCACGAACTGAAGCCAACTTTAATATCTAACCAGAAGAAATACGAGAACTTGATGCAAGAAAACAAATATTTCATGTTTTTTAAAACAAACTCTGCAATTTACTGGTTAGAAACTCACCAGAGAATATCCCGCTGTTTTCATTAGCATGCCTTCACATTATCAGATTTTCGCGTCTGCTATGCGATTCATCACAGTCAGAAAGCTCCTTGTTGTCCACCAAGTAGACAGTAATATCATCATCACTCTCCGCAACAGATTCATCATCAGAATGGTCCGGCACCAAGCCATCAGAAGTGGTTCTTCTTGGGTTTTGAATCCTAAATCCACAGCTTGAGTTTCACGACAAAGAAGAAACTCAGCAATAAACTCAGAAGTGGTTCTTCTTGGGTTAATGCAATATTGCTTGGTATCTATTTGCTCTAGCCATAAGAGTTAAATTTAAGTACTGCAATTGGACACTTGGTTCATCTTTGGAGTGAAAAAAATTTGGGTTCCTTCTTCCTCTTTGTAGTGATGATATTTGCAAGAAGATGAATGATTAAGATTTCAGTGTGATTTACTTGGCTGGTGTTGATCTTGCTGAGGCATTTTTCTTGAAACTGATATGGGAGTTAAAAGGAATGTCTTTGGGTGGTGTTCAGAGAAAAAATTGACCAATTGGGTCGTTGGATCCATAATAACATCCAGTAATCCCTACTTCTTTACTCATATTCTGTTGTTTGCTAGCTGTCTTAAGTCACTAAGGTTCTAAAATGTTCATTTCATTTGCTATTTTGTCCTGGAGATGTCCTTGTGAACACTGCCTCTCAATTCTCATCTTCTGGTTAGTTTTGTAAACCGTTCATGTTTGGTTGTGCTTACATATAAAAGTGAGAAGAACTGAGAACCTATGACTGGTGAATGAGGTTGCTTAGTATCTGTTTCGCTTCAGCATATATATTCGCCTTTTCGGGTAGCCTTATAAACCTCTATCTGTGCAGAAATCTAAAGACGAAATTGTGTTGAGGAAAGTTCTGTATGATGCTATCTTTTTGGTAGATTATTCTTTCTTGTCCACCAAGTTATCTGCAAACCTAGCAAAAAGTTTGACCATTTCAAGGTTAATTCTTATTTCTTACTTACGCATGAGCTACTGAGTTTTGCATGTACAAAACGTGATTTCAAAGTTCTTGCACTCTTAATTGAGTCTTTTGCACGACCAGTTTCATCTGAGTCCCAAGTGGGAACAAGAAATTCTTTGTCTACATTGAATTACCAAGTTTACGGATACAGTAGTTAAAGCTTGGTTTCAGAGACTTGCATGCTCCTTGTGGATGCACTAAATTGGCAGCCAACTACCTCCAAGCTACTTGGCCAAGGACATTTACAGTTATAAACAGATATTCCATTTAATGCAAGAACACCCATTAACCAAAATACAACACGGAGCAGTGGAGCCAACACACGTGGTCCAATATAATTACAATAATGCAAGTCTCCGAGATAAAATCCTGAAAAGATCACCACTTTTGAAAAATCAAGAGAAACAAAAAGAGTTTCAAACCACCTCCCAGAAGAGCAATGGATTTGGGGAGTAAGAAAATCAAGATACCACTTCACGAGCATCCTTTGTTACCCGTCACCCGCTTTGCTTTTGGTCGGTGTCAGGGGTGTCTCCCGTCTACTAATGATTACATTTACAGAGGCTACCGTTGCAATGAGTTAGGTTGTGAGGCTGTGTTTCACAAAGAGTGTGCCGAATCCTTACCAGAAATCAACCACTGTTCCCATCCAGACCATCCTCTCAAGCTCATCATCCTAGATTCCAATCCATCTACTTGTAGTTTCTGTAAAGAGAAGTTCAAAGTCGGTTATTGCTGTTCAAATTGTGATTTCAAACTGGTTTTACCCTGCGCATTGAGACCAGCCATTCTTGAAAAGTCCAACGCACACGAGCATCCGCTCGAGTTCTTACGTGAACCGCAATTTATCGGTGTTTCCGGTATTCGATCAGATTTCTGTAAAGTATGCGACTCTATGATTTTTGGCCATCGTTATAAATGTCATCAGTGCGAATTTGCCTTCCATTTAGAATGTGCTGATGCTGCTTGATAAATTGATGAGAGTAAGAACACAAAAGTGTTTAGGAAGAATTATATTAGACTCTCATAAGAATAATATTACAAGATGCATTCTTTTATATAGAGATAAACTAAACCTAACTTTCCTAATTTAAGATAAACATAAATGTAAATAATATATTTAGAGATAAAGGTAAATTTCCTAAACTAAAATCTTCCATAATCTTCTGGATCTTTATCAGTATGGTCGATCACATCGATCTCTCAATACCCTCCCGCAAGCTCATATGTGGTAACACATATGAGATTGGACATGTCTTCAAAATATCGGTGTTATACTCCACCGTCAAGTCAATTGGCTTCAACACCCAGCCATTAGGTCATTAACGACGTTTATACCCGGTCGTAGGGTTCTTCAAGTAGTAGAAAGGACAAAACTCGCAACTGCGATGTTTAAAAAGAATTCGCGATTGCGAAATAACAACTCACGAGTAAAAGAAGTCGAATCAAAAGAATGTCTTTGCGAGGGCAGAAAACATCATCAAATATGAACGAACCAAAATCAAAGGTCCATGCTCATAAAAAATCGCCATACATGTAATATATGGGATCATGAAATCATAAAGAGAAACAACATCTTCAGAACGTGTTCTCCAAAAAACTAGCAATTGTGCTAGCCAATTAAAAATTCAAGTTGCTTTGACATGACCATTTATTGGCCGAAATAATAAAATAAGCCACAAACAGACTTCAACTTTGGTGTCTTCAGCACCACCACATACGTGAAGAAGATAGAAGGAAAAATAAAAAAAACCACAATCCATGGGAATTGGATCTAGGCTCTGATACCATGATAAATTGATGAGAATAAGAACACAAAAGTGTTTAGGAAGAATTATATTAGACTCTCATAAGAATAATATTACAAGATGCATTCTCTTATATAGAGATAAGCTAAACCTAACTTTCCTAATTTAAGATAAACATAAATATAAATAATATATTTAGAGATAAAAGTAAATTTCCTAAACTAAGATCTTCCATAATCTTCTGGATCTTTATCAGTATGGTCGATCTCATCGATCTCCCAATACTGCTCCAGAAGCTGAAGCATACCACACTTCCCACCCTCAACACCCACTCAAGTTTCTGACATGTAAAGCAGCACCAGATTACGCCTACAAGAACTGCCTTCTTTGTGGGACACAGTTTGATGATGGCCAACGGCTTCCACGACTTCAACTTCACCACTGTGATGTTTGTAAC